AGGCATTGAATTTAGCAAATCACTTCACTTTATGTCCTCATTGCTATACTGACGGATTCTGGGAGGTACACCTTCAGTCCTGCTGCTGAAATCATCACACACACACACACTCTTCAGGTCACTGTTCACACCTGGTCTACCACCACTCTGCATGAGGTGGGAAGTGTTGTACAAGTGAAATACAATGGGATAAAAAGTATTTCGGTGCTGTAGTTTCTTTATAAGTAAATTACACTGTAGAATGATACTAAACAAAACTAGTATTGTACCAACATAATACTGTATGTACATGACTACCAGCATAATACTGTACATGACTACCAGCATAATACTGTACATGACTTCCACCATAATACTGTACATGACTACCAGCATAATACTGTACATGCCTACCAGCATAATACTGTACATGACTACCAGCATAATACTGTACTTTAGTAATTTCAAAGAGAGTACATGAGTATAGAGGTTCTGTCTTTTCTTCAGCGTTGCAGAGAGTGATGTTCATTATTTCAAGATGTCATAGAGATATAAGTTTCTTAACACAAACTTCATTGGTCTAGGAGGTAGATAGTGTTAGGACTGTACATAGTTTTATAAGGCATAGCACATAGAATTATTTATCAGTCTCCTTGTTTGGGAACGTTCAACAAACCTCTTAACATCTTGAGCTGGTTTTAATCTCTCAGATCACTCGCACCAGAACTGTAGGTCATATATGAAAAATAAAAGCTTGGAATTCACTTTATGGTCATGGTAATTATCTTGGATTTCTTCCTACCTCTCAAGGATTGAACTCTGTCAAGGCTAGGACTGGAGATCTAGGTCCAACATCCAAGGGTATAAATTGTAGTGAATTGTTAAGGAGTTTAATTCTGACCTACAAGCTTCATAAGGCAAGAAAGGCAATTACAATACTGCTGGATATTTTGAACGATTCATAATAATGGGGAAGAGTTGGACAGGCAGCTATTGCATTATTCTTTTGAATAGTGCATTAGGCCCTGCATGATCATGCCAATGACAACTGGTAGGGGCTGTCATGGGTGTTCAGTGGTTGAGATCTCACCTCAGACTTTGGCTTCATTATGGGATGTCATTCTTCAATACAGTACCATATTTTAAATACCTCTGTACCTTAATCAAATTAAGTACTGTATCTTGTACAAAGTCATTACAAAAGAAGTAATTACAGTATTGTGAGGGAATGTTAACCATTCTCCACTTTATACTAAAAGAGAAATATTGTATGAAGATTTACTTTCATATTATTAAAGTACTGTCCTGCCATGGCCACAATTGCAGAGTATATAAATTTTTTTCCTTGTAAATAAATCAGGTTTTTATTGTGTATTTATTTGTTTTATGCACGTCATGATATGAGTTTTGAGCTTTAAATGGAACACATAATATAACCAACCTGTTTTCATGAAAAAGTATCTCTCGCTACCCTTAGCTAGAGGGAATGCACCAAACTAAAAATGAGATACAAGTTATAAAGTGCCAAATGAAATCTGTAACTGATGTTTTGAGGATCAGTTATTAATGTACTGTATGTAGTGCTGAAATCAGGCAGTCTTCCCTTTTATGTCACTTTGTTATTGTAAACTCCTGTATGAATGTTTGAAGAGCCCAATGACAGAAGGCACTAATGTTTTCGTAATTTGAACAAAAGCAAAGGTTAATTTGTTGAAAAAATAATCACTAGGACTGTATTTGCTTGAGTAATATAAATTAAAAAAAAATAGTATGATAAGACTGAGAAGGAATGAAATGTGGAATTTAGGTCACTACTGGCCAGGCAAGTGTGACCATTAGTATTGACCCTATTAATTTGATTAATGTAGTAATCGATGGACTGGTCTTTTATTTGAGCATTCCCATGTAGAGATTAGAGATAAAGTCTTTCCCAATATTACTTGTACAGTTGCAGAAATGTGTTCCTCCACATCCTGTGGTAACCTGTGTCTCCAAACTGCCAACCTATATGACCTATAGCAAACCTAATCCACTAATCACATCCGTTGTTGCACAGCCAATACCCATTCATTCATAAATAGTTATACTACTACTGCAATGTTGCCGTGTAGAGACATGGGTTACCACAATGGGTATAAGAACACATTTCTGCAACTGTACAAGTACAGTACAGTACAGTACAGTCAACCCTCACTTTACGCGGTCCCACATTCCGCGTTTCCACGTTTACGTGGTGCCCTGCCGGAACCCAGGATGCTCACATTCCGCGGTGCGTGTACCCCTTTACGCGGAGAGCGGCTGGCGAGCCGCGCCATTTTTGGATCCAAACCTCCCGCCATCTGCCATGTTGCGTAAGTGGCGAGAACATGGTGCGCACAAGGTCGCCCAGTCATCAAAACATTACCAGTTCTTCACCCGCCACCCACCACAGCCGGCCCAAGTCAGTGATAGTGATAATTATGGTGAGGATATGGACTTGTATGGACTTTGGGGGGTTTGACAAAGAGGCCCTGCAAGCCTCTGTGGTGGATAGTGATACAATTGATACAAGTGATACAGGTGAGGGCCAATAATCTGCCCTCTGCCTTGGAACCAACCGCCCATCCCCGTGTGCCCAGCAATCTTTTTTACTAATGTAAGTGTTAAAAAACCTAATATTCTTGATATTTCTCTTAATTATTAATTGTGTGTGCATACCATCATAAAGTTAAGATAATATTTTTACTACAACATAGTTGTGTGTCGTCAAAAAGTGGAGTTTGGGGGTCGGCCCGGTCTCTATTTCAATTAATCCCATATGTTATGTTATTCACTTTACGCGTTTCTCACTTTCCGCGGTACCCTGTGGGTTACATTAACCGCGTAAAATGAGGGTTGACTATGCATATTTTAGAATTTTCTTACAACTCTCGTAGTACAGTAGTAGTGGCTCGATGTATTGGAATTGAAACTTAGGGAATACGTTTACATGTATTAGACATGCTAGTCCACTAACAGTTTACACACCTGCCAACCTAGAGATAGATATTGTATATTATATAAATTACAATTAGTTCATCTAATATTAGGTGTTGTCAGGTGAAACACAGGAAGATGTTTTAAGGAAACTTTCCACTCCAACTCAGTTGATAATTTAGTGTTTCATTGCTTTTTTGTATGGATTAGTCACAACTTATTATTTCTAAAATTCCTTTAGTACTAACTCTTTACCTTCTTGGTTTGATTTGACTTTTGGGATATACAGTACATGCAAAACTGGACTCTTGGTATACATTATCATGCAACATGTTCCTGAACAACATCTTAAACTATTATCTAACACTCACTGTATTCATTGTTGAATAACCCAGAAAATTTCATATATGGTTCATGCATACAATACTTGCAAGTAAAGTAATGTATAAATAAATAGATAAAAAGGATTGGAAAATTGTAATACTGTAGATCATAAATAATATCCAGTAGGCAGTGGCTGCTGGGGCATTGCCAAGGAATCCTTTTACTGTGCAGTATATATTTATGAAATTATTGCAGAGACATAATGTTAAACAGTACAGTACACTACCATGGGAAGTGTATAAGCAGTCCCCAAAATGAACTGTCCCCTAACTCCCCTCCACTGGAAACAGCCTTATTAATGCCCTACCAAAAAATTACAGGATTTAGGGTGTAAGGCAAAACTATCTAAGGATATAATTTGCATTTCTGATGTTCCACGTTTTGGTCACTTAGACTCTTCACCTCATGCCGTCAGTTATACAGCACAACAGGATAAATTGATGAACCCAAGCTTCCTAATTTAGATCCCTGAAATTCAGTGGTGATGTTGGTTTTAAAATTAATGAAGCTGTTATGAAGCAGCAGTACAGTAACACCATAGTGCATCATCAAGGGAGTGGAGTAAAGTGTTCTAAATCTGATGATACACTGTCTGGCTTTATTAACCCCACCAGGATTCACTTTATCATTTTGTCTTCCAAGTCTTCATATTTGTTGTCCATTACCTTGGAATGGCACTTCAGTATTATCCCTATTTAGCTAAACAAACATATATTTAAGTCATTGTTAACAGTAAATCAAGATTAACCAACTACCCCTCATAATTTGAAGCTTGGAATGAGTGAACATAACTTTTATTAAATCTTAGCATTGTGTCATTAAAATGTTGGTATCAATATCCAAAACCATGATGTACCTTATAACTGAGGTCTCTACCCTGCTGGTTACAGCTTATTATAGTAAAAACACCCACTAAGAAAATTATATCATGTATTACAAGTACTGTATACAGTATTACAGTTAGGTAATGTATATATACAGTACTGTAAACATCCATTAATACATTCACTCAATAAACACAAGTAAAATTCTTCTCTCCCAGCTAATTTTGTTTTTACTTCCATACAACAATAAATCTCCTTAGTTAGATTTGATATTGACTGAACAAGGGAAGACTGCCAATAACTTAGATAATGATTAAAAAAATTTTCCATAACACCAGATCAACGATGATTGTGTCATTAAAAAGCATATCACTTATAGTGTAAGATTAAAGGTTTTATTGTTGACAAGTTTCAGATGTATAATTCAGCAAAAACGGGCAGATTATATATATATATATATATATATATATATATATATATATATATATATATATATATATATATATATATATATATATATATATATATATATATATATATATATATATATATATATATATATACTGTACAGTATAACAAAAATGATATACCGTACCTGTAACTGGTAGTGTTCTCCAGTGAGTGACTTCAAAGGCTCCCTGCCATGATACAGTATTGCTTCTAGTGTAGATGTGGCATGTGGGTGCAGTACACCTCTCAGACTTAGATTATATGTATTTGTTTTGGTGGAAATTGATGTACTCTTGATTTAACAGCCATTTTGCTCATGTATGTTTAGATGTAGCAATTGTGGCATGCTGGCGGCGCGGCTGCAATGTTTGTAGCGCTAACACCACTCTATCTCCCTCTCTCTTACAGTCGGCATGGGCATGGGTCTATCTGTTACCTTGAACCCCAATGGCGTAGGCTTAGAGACGGCCCTCAAGGCCCCCTTATTATCCCAGTCGGGGGTGGGTGGGGGTCCCACGGTCCCCCTCCAGCCACTCTTCCCCATTGCTACCATGGCGCAAGTGGCTCTGGTGCAGCCCACTTCTGCTCCCTCCCAGGTTCCCCTTCAACAGCCTCCGCCCACCTCCCATCCCCATCATTCCCCATCACCACCTCCTTCCCCAACACGCCCTCTCCTGGGGTCATCTTCAGGCTCCATTGGGGGCCTTCGTGGACCAGATAATGGGCAGAATGCAGACACTGGGGATAGCAGTTCCCAAGGGCCGGATTCCCCTGAACTCACCCCTAGCACCGTCTAGCCCCCAGCATCTACAACAATGAGAACATCTCAACATCTTCGCCATGTTCTTGGGGGACTCCTGGCCAAACGCGCCCAGTGGCCTTCCAGCGTTAGTGGTATTAACATCTGTCAGGTGACAGACAAGACAGGCACTTGTTACCACCGTGTGAGTTGAGGAAAGACTGGCAACATATGTGACTAGACAGTGTTTATGAATCATTTCTCAGACATGTAAGTGATTCAGCTGACAGAATTGTGAAACTTGACACTTGAAAATGCGTCCTTCGACCAGTGTGGACGCTGTGTGACAGACGTTGTACTGTGATCCTTGAGTGTTACCTGTACTGTATAATTATTATACATTATTTCTTTATTTTGGTGTTCAGAAGACAATGAATCTTCGAATGCAAAACTTTTACAGCACCTTTTGTCTGCATGCTTGTTGACACATAATATTAGCACTATTGTTTCCTCTCCCATAAAGGACCAAACTGGAAGTAGAGTTATGTGATGCTTTCATATTTACACTTTTTCATAATGTAACATCTGACACAAAAATCTCCACATCTTGTCTCATTGTTCAACTTGTGGTGTTCTGAGGGTGAGTCGGCAAAAAAATGAAGCCAAATATTTGTATGAAACTTAATGTTGTAGTTTGTACAAACATTTGACTTTCAAGTCCTTTTGTTCTGTGCTGTACTCGTCCCACTTATTACTTGCAATCTTTTAATGTATAGAAAGGATTTAAGTATAGCATCAGCAGCAACTTGGGATTCATAGTAGTAAGTGAAATATTTTATTGAAGCATCAGTGCATTATGCAAGTCCATAATAACATAATAGATCTACAGTAGAATTGCAAATCATAAGGTGATAGAATTTAGTTCAGATGGCATTGTATTTTTGCTTTATAGTGGAAGACATGGTAGGGTACAGGGTGGGTATGTGGCAAAGTGTGCCTCTGATCATAGTGATTATTGCTCGTAAAGTAAAGTAAAAATCTGTTCATTAATCAGACATCTATAGTCAAATATTGGAGCGTTAATTGGCAAAGTAATAAAGCTTATATTTTTATCACTGAAAGAGAAAAGGCTCTATAGAAACGAATTTTCAGTTTTGTCTTTATTCCTACTGTAAAAAAATAAGATTTACAGTTACATTGGATTAAAATAGTCTTGTCTTGAATGGTGCTAGAGTGTACATTCTTTGAAAGCAGGCTTAGCCCACTCACAACAATATTTTGATAAGGTTTATTATAAATTAAACATAATATAAATTAAACATAATATTTAAGAAATAAGATTCAGTATTCTTAACTACAGTACATATAGGGGCAGCACATGAGCCAGGTTCAGCCTGCCGGCCCCCTCTCCTCTCTACACTAAGCTGTCTAATTTTGAAATGTGATTGAAGATATATTATTAATTAATCTCATCATTTATAAAATTATACCAGTAATTACAAATATACATTAAGGATGAATTTTTATGCATGTTTTATATACAGTATAACAAAATTAACAAGTTTGGGGTGTATAATGTGCTTGGTGAGTATTTTTTAAGGTGAGGTTACAGAGATATTGATGGTTAATGCAAAGTTCTTAAGCTTGTAGAAGAAAGCAACTGTTAAAATGCATTGATTATTGTAACTATTTGCTTGTTGTAATTATCATCACTGTAGCCAAACTATATTTTCACTCAATTAACATTTTCCTGTTAGTCTCTGATAGACACTAGGTTTGAGTTACTAAATATAGTTTAGATATTGCCTTGTCTGGTCATCATATGACTATATAGTACATACTGTAAGTCGCATGTGTACATAGGGTCAGGAGCGGAGAAGTTATGGCTGTAGTGAAGCCTTGCTTATCCAAAAGATCTCTTGTGGTGTTTTCCATCATCAGAGATTTCTTTATGAATCATTGAACTATACTCCCTCATCTCAAAGTTACTGATATTATTTGACATTGGAAGAGGTGTTTGGATAAGCCAGGTACAACTGTATCCATAATATGCCGACTCAAGAAGTGATGGCACTTCAGGGCTTCTATGTCAGCCATGAAGTCATCACTTCAGCCCACCACAGCATTGTTGATTATTATCTCTCCATAACGTAGAGATTTAATTTCCCTCTAGATATCACCTTGGCAGCAGCACTGGGCGAGCATACAGGGGGCGGCAAAACCCAGCCCTACTATGGGCAGCCTCCTTTACCTGGTAACTGTAAGCTTCACTCCAACATCTAAAATTTAGCTCACCTTCTTCCTTGACTTGCACATCATTTTAATGAACATAAATCAATGTTTTCAATTTGTAGCTTGATATTTGCATAAATGTTTCGTGTACAGTATAATTGCAACATTAATACAGTATGTGATGAATGGCAAATGTAAGTTGTAGAGAAGCTACATATGATCTTATATACACACCCATTGTTAATCTCCTTTTCCTAAGAGGTTGCAAAAGAGTTTCTTGTTGGAGATTGCCTAGCCCTTCCGGGTGGGTGCTGCCCCCTGAAGCACGCAAGTGGTCAGTCTTGCGCAGTACTGTACCGCTTCCCACCTTGGAGCAGCCTCATCAACGCAACATGATTTCAGCGAATTAATTATTTCATTAATGCTTTTAAGATTTCATCCATGTTTTGCATGTAGGTGAAAGCTGTGACCAAAAAAGGTAATGACAGTTTTTAATTAACTACAGTACTGTACATTGTAAAATTACTATACTTTTAAATTAGACTATTTTCAGTCAGGCTTTTTACAATATATGGTATACTAACACAATAAGCTACGGTAACCTTCTGTTGTATATAAAATAATATAACTGCCTGACATTGTTAATCTGGATTGTATGAATTGTAATTTGACTGACAGCAAGGCTGGGAGACTAGTGCTGGTGCCTCTACTCTCCTTCACACCCTGCATGTTAGAACTTACGGGACCAAACCAAAGTTAGATGCTACACAGGGAGGGTGGGAAATTGTGGTTGCCAGGGAACACTGTTCTGTGAATTCTCCAAGGAGGAGTAAGGTCGGGTCACCGTACCTAAATATCATTATCTGAGGTAGTAAATTGAATAAATTATTTTTTACAGCATATGACACACAGGTGGTTAGTATGTACCACACCTCAAACAAACTAGATGCATAAAACTTATTACTTTTATCATCTTCACCACCTGTCGGCTTCACTAGCCGCTTGGGCAGTTGGTCACAGACTACTCAAATTAGTTATAATGATTGAATACCTTTAGTAATGTAAAATTTATAAATTTTAGGGCATTGAGTTTGTTGTAGTTTAGTTAATATACCACTATGGTTAATTAATGTTAGAAACTGAATATTGCAGAAAACAGGTCATTTTGTATAAACCATAGTATGGTTGACCTGGTCCATGGCCTCTATTGGCTCTGGACATGCAAGCAAGCATAAAGTTACCCTGTATTATGCAAAGGGGCATAATATGGGTACAGTACATAGCTAGAATATATTGTTTTTCCCATGAGAAAGTAGTTTTTGCTACAATGTTGAAACTGTTATATGAAATTCTGTATTAAGATACGGATTCTTTTCATTGACTGAAAGTAGAGGTTGTCATATACTTTAATTGATGTAAGGGGGCTTCTTAGGCAGTGATATTATAGATCAAAATAATGATGATAGTGATTTATATGTTTCATTTTCAGAACTGTCTTCTGTCAAGTTCTAGAGAGAATCTGATAGTGTGTAAATGAGATTATTGCATCTGCAGTGCTGTACAGCTAAGGTTTTCCATTGAATGGCCACATAAAGCTCAACTGTAAGATCTCCTTCTATATTAATTATCATTCAAAAACCTCAGTATGATTCATTACAATTATACTGTATATCAATAACAGTACACATTATCAAAATTTTGCCTGATTTTTTATACTAAATTGTTTAAAGTTAATGTTATTGTTGACTGTTTTTTGGGTGTCCAACATGTTCACCGGACTATAAGCAGTACTGTACACTAACTAGAAATTAAGTTATTCTGCAAAATACACACCCACTTTAAAAGAAGAGCAAAATTTAAATTGTATTCCCTTATGCACATTATAAATGTTTTAAAGGCCATTTATGGCTTTCAGTTCCTGGACAGGGGTGAGCTGAACCTATGAGCACAGTTAGTAAAGCAACAAAAGCAAAAAAGAAGACAATTGTATTTTGTTATACAAATGTTTGGTAAACTTTATTAAAATACTGTACTGCATTAATCTATTACTCCAAGAATAACTACTTATATTACTAAACTCATCAGCAGCCCCCTCATCAATATGTGCCTGGGTTGACCAAAACGTTCCATGATCATAAAATAACAATTCTAATTGCTGGATATTTCTTGCTAAATACTTGCTGAAGAAAGTAACTTAGGGGCAAATTTTCTATGGTCTGGAAAATTTGCCACTTATATAACGACTATATCTAGCAGTGTATGATCCTTGGTTTCTGTGCACCCAAAAACACCAACATTTATTGTAAATTAGCCTTATTTTAGATACATTGAAAGCTTGGGGAAGATAGGTTTTGTAAAGAACTATTAAAATGAATCAATAGTACGATGATGTATTAACTCAAAAGTGAATTTGTGTGGTTCATTAGAATGTTACTATGACATGTGAAACTGAAATGTTGGTGCATTTCATATATTTCAGTAACTACGCTTTTTAAGGTGTTGCATAATAGGGGTGTCAATGATGTTTACACAAGAGTAGTTTGTGCGCTGATGCATTGGTTGTTCTCTTTATTGTTGATCTCTCATCTCTGCTTTCCAATTTGTACTTTTGCCATAACCATTCACCGCATACTCAGGGGCACGCGTGAGGCAGCAACCACTTTCCTCCCGGCTGCTTCATCACATCAGACATAGGGAAAACACCAGTTATCGGGGTTGGGGATTTTCGTCCAGGTTAGGTGCAAACTTGATGATCCCGATCACTGGCCAGATAGTGTAATTAAATGAATTATACATTTTCTTAGAACTTTTTAGAACGATAGTTAAACTACTAGGGAATTTACACATATAACAGATGCAAGTTATAAAATCTGCCTCAATGATTAGAACAATAGTGGTTGTTGACATTGGTAATGGCGGCCCCATCTCTCTTACAGCTCCCCTTTCCCCCCTACAGTCTTCAGTGAATCCAGGTCATAATGTGCAGGTTAAACTAAGATAAGATTATCTCTCCTGTTGAATATACTGTTACATTAGTTTGATATACTAAAATAAAAGCTACCACATCTGCTAATATGTACTTTTGTGAGAATTTGAATGTGAGAGCCATAAGACGATCAGATGGATTGCAGTATGAAATATCTGTAAAATAAAATTCTGACATCTTAATTATTTTTTAAAGAGTCTGTAAATTTGACAGTGAAATAGTGAACTTATCTTGGATGACCTGTACTTGTCTCCTGTTAACTGAACAGTGTAGCCACCGTGGTCCATCATTGGTGAGCCATCAGTACTTGGATCATCAAAAAAGTATATAAAAGGTACTGTACATAATATTAATAATACTTCAGTAGTTTTGAATCTAAGACTGATGACTTAGACTAATTGGTGTTGACCATGAATTAAAATGGTAATGAAACAGTTCTTACCTATGTTACTTACACATCTCAAACCACAAAAATAAGATAAGAGATAATTTGTCAAAAGATGTGAGGCAAAATAATCGAAACTACAAATTGAATGGAATTAAATTGAATTAACATTTATCTGACCTTGTACTAGAAAAATTGAATCACAGCCGTTTGATAATTAAATTACTGTTGCCACAATAGATAAATTCAGATTCATCAACATAGTGTGAAGGTTTGCACTTGAAGCTCTTAGGGAGAAACACACACTTGTTGTAATGCCTGTTGGTGGCACAGGCTCCTGGGTGTCGGTGGCCGAAGCCCACAGATACTGACCTTTACAAGCAGTTAGTCACATTCATGGTTAATGATTACAAGACGGACTACCTCATTCTTGCACACTGTTATTGGGGCATAAGTACTTTCATTCTTATTAATTTGAAGTAATAGGACCTTCCTACTGACTTCGATGCATTTTCTCCGCTATGTGGAGGAAGGTACAGTATACATAATATTGATTTGATGCTTCTTTGTCATTCATTTGTAAATTTAAATACAGTACTTGATCGAGGAACTTTGCAAGCTCTTTTTTTTTATAAGATTACAAAAATTCAGCATACTATATAATTTTATTTTTAATACAGACAGTGTATCCATTCATACAGTATATGTTCAAGTCTGTTTGTATTCAATGTATGTGTGTGTTTGTGTGTACAATTTGCCTATGTACATGTTTGTACATTAGTGTATGTGCATTTACTTGTATTAATGCATATGAATGTACATTACATGTGTATGTTTATGTGTGTTTGTGTGAAAAGATACACATATGCACATGGTAAGGCAATGTACTTCACTCCATGACTGAAGCACTTCCATCACAAAAACAGGACTATATAAACCAGCATATATATACAGTACTTTATATATATATATATATATATATATATATATATATATATATATATATATATATATATATATATATATATATATATATATATATATATATATATATATATATATATATATATTAGCTTTTAGGGATACAGTACTGTAATTGCATCATAGTGTTTATGATTTTATCACTTAAAATGGTGTATAAAATATATAAGTCATATAAATAAACAAAATACAAATTGAAAATGAACACAGTATCAGTGCTATGCTACCCTGACCTATCCTAACTTAATCTAACCTAATTTAGGTAAAGTTCAGTTATGTTAAGATATTTAAAGAATATCTCAAATGTATTAAGTCGGTTTTATCATATACTGTATATGCACAATTTTTCATAGAATTAGAATGATTCTGTAACCACAAAGTGTTATTCTTATTTTGTAATGGAGTCCAATCTGTAGTACAGTACAGTACTGTGCAGGTACAATATTGCTTAATCAGATGATTTCCCTAAAAAACAAGATCTATGGTAATAGATATAGGTAGATTCAGTAGATAGATTGACTTCAGTTTTTTAGTTAATTTTTTCTGATAAAATTCTTCAAACTGGTGTATACACTATAGAGGGGGCGATCACATAGATAATCATAATATAGACTATGTATATCTGAATACTGTAGCATCATATTAGTCTAGCTAACCTTACATGCTGTAGCAATAAAATTGAAAAGCGAACTTTTGGCAAAAACTTCATTTGTACCATATTCTATTACAGGTACAGTATTATAAAGTTTAATCAAGTGTATATCCCTAATAAGCATGAAAATAAATAAATAAATATATATATATATATATATATATATATATATATATATATATATATATATATATATATATATATATATATATATATATATATATATATATATATATATATATATATATATATTCAATAACACACACATACACACATATGTACAGTATATTTATTTTATGAATTTAAAACTTTTATTTGAAGAACATAAATATTCGCAATTTAAATTTTATAATGACAGCTTAAAGGTCAGAATCTAATGGAATTGAGCATCAAAGAGTATTTCTGAATTTCCTGAATATATGCAAGAATGTTCTTTTGTGAAGTGCAGTAAGTCCATTAGTTGATTATCAGTCTGATGATCCTGGGACAAAGGGATATAAAATCATAATGATGATCTTGGTTTCCCATGTGATTCCACAGGGACATGATGCAAGGGGGAAAATCTGTTACATGGGAATCATCAGTTCATAGCATATCTACTTAACCATTTTTATGCATAGAAGTGTAAGATTTCATTCTATTAATATAAATGATATCAAAGCCAATATGTATTTCATTCTCCTAGGACAAATTTACTAGATACAGGTAATACATAGCTATGGAAATATTCAAGACTCGTTCAGAAGTACTATTGTATTGTACTGCACATAAAAATGTAATGGCCCAGTTGGCCCTCCCAGGGTTGGTGGCACCTCCAGCTGCCCTCCCAGGGGTAGTGACATCCCCAGGGGCCCACTCAGAGGCAGTGGTGACCCAGGGACCCTCCCATAGGTGGTGGCTCCCTTCGGGGGCCTCTCACGGGCGGCGGCGTCCCCAGGGTGCCACCCAGGGGCGACAACACCTCCAGGAGCCATCCCACCGGCTGTGACGCCCCCAGGGGTCCTCTCGGGGGCGGAGATTCCCCCTGAATCCCTCACAAAGATGGCGGCGCCCCCTGGGGGCTTCCCATGGGTGATGACGCCCCCAGGGGTCCACAGGGAACCTATGGCATGCTTGCTCGTTGCATCATATATATATTACATACTTCCAGCAAGCCCTTACTGAACTGTGATTGGTGGAATATTCTATTAACCAACCAAATTACAGCTAATAGGAGAAATGAGCAGTTAGTCAACACAACACCACAACTTATGTTTTCCTGTTGCATATTATTCTCCGTTACCTTCTACAGAATGCGATGATACTGGAAATGTGATGGACGGTGTATCTATTTAACTTTGCATCTGCCAGTGTTCTACATAGTGCAATAACAACTGCACCCAGGGGCCCTATAGGTTTGGCGCGACCAGGAGCCCTCCTAGGGGCGGCGGCGCCCCCAGCGACCATCCCAGGGGCGGCGGCGCCTCCAGGAACCCTCTCAGGGGCGCCAACGCCGCCAAGAACCCTTCCAAGGGCGGCGGCGCCCAAAGGGGCCATCCCAGGTGGGGCGGCATCCCCAAGGGCCCTCCCAGGGGAGGTGGCGCCCCCAGGGGACCCTCCTAAAAGCGGCAGAGCCCCTAAGGGTCCTCCCATGGACAGCGGCGCATCCAGGGAGTCGCAGGTACAATGGCGCTCCCAGGGTACAGCAGCAACCCCCAGGGAACCTCCGAGGACAGGCGGCGCTCCTATGGACCCCAAGGGACACTACCAAGAACCCTCCCAGGGGCAGTGGTGCAAAAGTAATTAAAATATTCTAAAAATCATTTGAACATTTTCTAAAAGCCATTTGAACAAGTTATAATCAAGATATCAAATTTTGGTTAACAGATCCTTAAGCAGCACATTCAGGAGTACCAATACTGAGATTTTGAACAAAATCTATTTTTTTGGCCGAAATTGACAAAAATTGTAAGTCTTATGCCTTAAAGGATTTTTGGCCAAAATACTTTTTCTCTCTGAACTAAAATTTAATGTGCCTATCTATTTAAGTACATGCAGAATAATACACAAGCACCAAGAAATGACCTCGAAAAGCCATAAGTGGCGAGTAATTAGCATTGCAATAGTAATTAAAATATTCTAAAAATCATTTGAACATTTTCTAAAAGCCATTTGAACAAGTTATAATCAAGATATCAAATTTTGGTTAACAGATCCTTAAGCAGCACATTCAGGAGTACCTATACTGAAATTTTGAACAAAATCCATTTTTTGGCCGAAAATGACAGAAATTGTAAGTCTTATGCCTTAAAGGATTTTTGGCCAAAAATACTTTCTCTCTCTGAACTAAAATTTAATGTGCCTAACTATTTAAGTACATCCAGAATAATACACAAGCACCAAGAAATGACTTCGAAAACCCATAAGTGGCGAGTAATTAGCATTGCAAAAGAAATTAAAATATTCTAAAAATCATTTGAACACTTTCTAAAAGCCATTTGAACAAGTTATAATCAAGATATCAAATTTTGGTTAACAGATCCTTAAGCAGCACATTCAGGAGTACCTATACTGAAATTTTGAACAAAATCCGTTTTTTGGCCGAAAATGACAGAAATTGTAAGTCTTATGCCTTAAAGGATTTTTGGCCAAAAATACTTTTTCTCTCTGAACTAAAATTTAATGTGCCTAACTATTTAAGTACATCCAGAATAATACACAAGCACCAAGAAATGACTTCGAAAACCCATAAGTGGCGAGTAATTAGCATTGCAAAAGTAATTAAAATATTCTAAAAATCATTTGAACACTTTCTAAAAGCCATTTGAACAAGTTATAATCAAGATATCAAATTTTGGTTAACAGATCCTTAAGCAGCACATTCAGGAGTACCTATACTGAAATTTTGAACAAAATCCATTTTTTGGCCGAAACTGACAGAAATTGTAAGTCTTATGCCTTAAAGGATTTTTGGCTAAAAATACTTTTTCTCTCTGAACTAAAATTTAATGTGCCTAACTATTTAAGTACATCCAGAATAATACACAAGCACCAAGAAATGACCTCGAAAACCCATAAGTGGCGAGTAATTAGCATTGCAAAAGTAATTAAAATATTCTAAAAATCATTTGAACATTTTCTAAAAGCCATTTGAACAAGTTATAATCAAGATATCAAATTTTGGTTAACAGATCCTTAAGCAGCACATTCAGGAGTACCAATACTGAAATTTTGAACAAAATCCATTTTTTGGCCGAAAATGACAAAAATTGTAAGTCTATGCCTTAAAGGATTTTTGGCCAAAAATACTTTTTCTCTCTGAACTAAAATTTAATGTGCCTAACTATTTAAGTACATCCAGAATAATACACAAGCACCAAGAAATGACCTCGAAAACCCATAAGTGGCGAGTAATTAGCATTGCAAAAGTAATTAAAATATTCTAAAAATCATTTGAACATTTTCTAAAAGCCATTTGAACAAGTTATAATCAAGATATCAAATTTTGGTTAACAGATCCTTAAGCAGCACATTCAGGAGTACCTATACTGAAATTTTGAACAAAATCCATTTTTTGGCCGAAAATGACAAAAATTGTAAGTCTTATGCCTTAAAGGATTTTTGGCCAAAAATACTTTTTCTCTCTGAACTAAAATTTAATGTGCCTAACTATTTAAGTACATCCAGAATAATACACAAGCACCAAGAAATGACCTCGAAAACCCATAAGTGGCGAGTAATTAGCATTGCAAAAGTAATTAAAATATTCTAAAAATCATTTGAACATTTTCTAAAAGCCATTTGAACAAGTTATAATCAAGATATCAAATTTTGGTTAACAGATCCTTAAGCAGCACATTCAGGAGTACCTATACTGAAATTTTGAACAAAATCCATTTTTTGGCCGAAAATGACAAAAATTGTAAGTCTTATGCCTTAAAGGATTTTTGGCCAAAAATACTTTTTCTCTCTGAACTAAAATTTAAAGTGCCTAACTATTTAAGTACATCCAGAATAATACACAAGCACCAAGAAATGACCTCGAAAACCCATAAGTGGCGAGTAATTAGCATTGCAAAAGTAATTAAAATATTCTAAAAATCATTTGAACATTTTCTAAAAGCCATTTGAACAAGTTATAATCAAGATATCAAATTTTGGTTAAGAGATCCTTAAGCAGCACATTCAGGAGTACCTATACTGAAATTTTGAACAAAATCCATTTTTTGGCCGAAAATGACAGAAATTGTAAGTCTTATGCCTTAAAGGATTTTTGGCCAAAAATACTTTTTCTCTCTGAACTAAAATTTAATGTGCCTAACTATTTAAGTACATCCAGAATAATACACAAGCACCAAGAAATGACCTCGAAAACCCATAAGTGGCGAGTAATTAGCATTGCAAAAGTAATTAAAATATTCTAAAAATCATTTGAACATTTTCTAAAAGCCATTTGAACAAGTTATAATCAAGATATCAAATTTTGGTTAACAGATCCTTAAGCAGCACATTCAGGAGTACCTATACTGAAATTTTGAACAAAATCCATTTTTTGGCCGAAAATGACAAAAATTGTAAGTCTTATGCCTTAAAGGATTTTTGGCCAAAAATACTTTTTCTCTCTGAACTAAAATTTAATGTGCCTAACTATTTAAGTACATCCAGAATAATACACAAGCACCAAGAAATGACCTCGAAAACCCATAAGTGGCGAGTAATTAGCATTGCAAAAGTAATTAAAATATTCTAAAAATCATTTGAACATTTTCTAAAAGCCATTTGAACAAGTTATAATCAAGATATCAAATTTTGGTTAACAGATCCTTAAGCAGCACATTCAGGAGTACCTATACTGAAATTTTGAACAAAATCCATTTTTTGGCCGAAATGACAAAAATTGTAAGTCTAAAGCCTTAAAGGATTTTTGGCCAAAAATACGTTTTCTCTCTGAACTAAAATTTAATGTGCCTAACTATTTAAGTACATCCAGAATAATACACAAGCACCAAGAAATGACCTCGAAAACCCATAAGTGGCGAGTAATTAGCATTGCAAAAGTAATTAAAATATTCTAAAAATCATTTGAACATTTTCTAAAAGCCATTTGAACAAGTTATAATCAAGATATCAAATTTTGGTTAACAGATCCTTAAGCAGCACATTCAGGAGTACCTATACTGAAATTTTGAACAAAATCCATTTTTTGGCCGAAAATGACAGAAATTGTAAGTCTTATGCCTTAAAGGATTTTTGGCCAAAAATACTTTTTTCTCTCTGAACTAAAATTTAATGTGCCTAACTATTTAAGTACATCCAGAATAATACACAAGCACCAAGAAATGACCTCGAAAACCCATAAGTGGCGAGTAATTAGCATTGCAAAAGTAATTAAAATATTCTAAAAATCATTTGAACATTTTCTAAAAGCCATTTGAACAAGTTATAATCAAGATATCAAATTTTGGTTAAGAGATCCTTAAGCAGCACATTCAGGAGTACCTATACTGAAATTTTGAACAAAATCCATTTTTTGGCCGAAATGACGAAAATTGTAAGTCTATAGCCTTAAAGGATTTTTGGCCAAAAATACTTTTTCTCTCTGAACTAAAATTTAATGTGCCTAACTATTTAAGTACATCCAGAATAATACACAAGCACCAAGAAATGACCTCGAAAACCCATAAGTGGCGAGTAATTAGCATTGCAAAAGTAATTAAAATATTCTAAAAATCATTTGAACACTTTCTAAAAGCCATTTGAACAAGTTATAATCAAGATATCAAATTTTGGTTAACAGATCCTTAAGCAGCACATTCAGGAGTACCTATACTGAAATTTTGAACAAAATCCATTTTTTGGCCGAAAATGACAGAAATTGTAAGTCTTATGCCTTAAAGGATTTTTGGCCAAAAAATAGATTGTGTTCAAAATCTCAGTGTAGGTACTCCTGAACATGCTGTTTCAGGATCTGTAAACCAATATTTGATATCTGCATTACTACTTATTGAAATGACTTGCAAAAGTAATTAAAATTTTCTGAAAGCCATTTTAACAAGTAATAATCCAGATATCGAATTTTGGTCAACAGATCCTTACTCAGCATGTTCAGGAGTACCTATACTGAGATTTTGAACAAAATCTATTTTTTGGCCAAAAATCCTTTAAGGCATAAGACTTACAATTTTTGTCATTTTCGGCCAAAAAATAAATTTTGTTCAAAATCTCAGTATAGATACTCCTGAACATGCTGAGTAAGGATCTGTTGACCAAAATTTAATATCTGGATTATTACTTGTTAAAATAGATAGATAGATCGATGGTGGGACACGGACATTTAAAAAATGTATATATATATACTGTATATTTTTTTATTATCTTATTTTATCTCATTTTCTTCATTTTACTATAGGGCCTAGTCCGTGGCCCACCTGAGAACCACCCCATGGCCCACCAGTTGAAGACCACTGCGGGCCTATACTTATTGTACAGGGGCCCTTATGGTTGTGAATATATTATATAATGAAGGGGAGGCAGCGCGCCCATGAACACTCCCAGGTGCAGCAGCGCCTCCATGGACACTGACAGGGGCAGCAGCGCCTCAAAGGACACTCCCAGGGACAGCAGCACCCCCAGGGACCCTCCGAGGGTCGACGGTGCTCCTGTGGACCCTCCTGAGGATGGTGGAGCCCCCCAGGTACCCTCACAAGGGCTGCGCGACCCCCAGGGACCCTCCTAGGGGAGGCGACGCTACCAGGGGTCCCCAGAGGAACTCTGGCATGCTTGTTCGCTGTATCATATATATTACATACTTCCAACAAGCCCTTACTGAACTATGATCGATGGATTATTCATTTATCCCCCACCAAATTACAACCAATAGGAGAAGAGAGCAGTCAGTCAACACACCACAACTTATGTTTTCTATTGAATATTATTCTTCGTTACCTACTTCAGAATGCGATGATACTGGAAATGCGATGGGCGGGGTATTTATTTATATTTGCATCTCCAAGAGTTCTAAATAGTGCAATAACTACTGCTCCCAGTGGCCCTAGAGGTCTGGCGCTCCCAGTGGCCCTCCTAGGGGCGGTGGTGCCCCAGGGACCCTCCGAGGGCGGTTGCTGCTCCAGGAGCCCTCTCAGGGGCACCGGCGCTACCGGGAACCCTCTCAGACACGCCAGCGCCCAAAGGCCCTTTGGGAGGGTCCCTGGTTTTGCCACTGTCCCTGGGAGTGTCCCTGTGGGCGTCACTGCCCCAGTGAAAGTCCCTTGGGGTGCCGCTGCCCCTGGGAGGGTACCTGGCGGCGCCACCGCCCTTAGGAGGGTCACAAGGGGCTCTGCCGCTTTTCGGGGGGTTCCTGGCGGCCCCACCACCCTTTGGAGGCTCCATAGGAGCACCGACACACCTGGGAGGGTCCCTGGGAGTGTCCCTAGGTGCGCCAATGCCCCTGAAGGAGTCCCTGGAAGTGCCGATGTTCGTGGGAGTGTCCCTGGGTTCCCTGCTGCTCCTGCGAGGTTCCCTGGGCATGCTGACGACACTGGAATATTCCCATGGGGCGCCACCGCCCCTGGGAGGACCCTTAGCGGCTCCGCTGCTTTTGGAAGGGTCCCTGGGGACGATGACGCCCCTAGACTGGCCCCTGGGGTTGCTTCTGACCATGAAAGGGCTCGTTGGGCGCCAGTGCCCATGAGAGGGTTCCCAGTGGCTCCGGCACCCCGAGAGGGTTCCTAGAGCTGCAACCGCTCCTGGGAGGTTCCCTGGGACCGTTGTCGCCCCTGGGGCACTGCCTCCCCTAGGTGGACCCCTGGGTGCGCCAGACCTCTAGATCCACTGGGCACAGTAGTTATTGCACTATTTAGAACTCTGGGAGATGCAAAGTTAAATAAATACACCGCCCATCACATTTTCAGTATCAAAGGTAACAGAGAATAATATTCAATAGGAAAACATAAGTTGTGGTGTTGTGTTGACTGACTGCTCTCTTCTCCTATTGGCTGTAATTTGGTGGGTTAAGAGAGCATGCCACCAATCAGAGTTCAGGAAGGGCCTTCTGGAAGTATGAAATATATGTGATACAACGAACAAGCATGCCATAGGTCCCCTGAGGACTCTTGGTAGGGTCCCTGGGGTTGGCGGCACGGCTCCAACAGTTGAACAGAAGAAGAGCCACCCCAGGTATGAGAGCAGTACTCCAAGTTAGAACAAATGAATCCCGTATAAACTTGAAGCAACAGCTCAGGAGTTAAGTAGCTACGGCATCTATATAGTATTCCCAGCTTATGGGAGACAGCATTAGCAATGTTGTGGATGTGTGGCTTCCAGGACATATTAGAAGAAATGGTGAGGCCTAGCATATCTATTTTAGAATTTGGCAGAATAATTGTATCCTGAAATGTGATTGGTGGGAGATCTTCTATTTTGGAAAGTGTAATTGGTAAATACTATGTTTTATTACGATTGAACAAATTAAGTACTTCCAGAATAACACCAAAATTTAGCATGTGTAAGCAGTTTTTCCTCAAACACAGGTGTGCTTTTTACATTCTCTCTTGTGAATGAGGAAAATTCTTCATTTAATGCCTCTGTCTTATCCTGACCTGAGTCTAACTACCTACCATTTTCAAGTTTCAGACATGATAATTACAGGTACTGTAGTGTATCGCAGTATGCCCAGACATCTTTAATTTAAATTTTCCGTAAAGATAGGAAACCTGAGGGCTTGACTTGCCCTTATTTGCAATTTGCCTCTGGGACTCTTTTTCTGCCCTCCCACACTCTGACTTGACTTGGCTCTTGGACCTAGCATACACCCTTCTGTCTTGCTCATTATTTGTCGCAGCCTATTTCTTGAAATTCATACACTTTTTCTTAACTTTGTTAACTGCCGCATAGTTCATGTGTAATGGTCTCTTAGTGGTCCTGAAGCCAGTGGATTTGGTCTTGGGTACATGCTCATTAACCGAATAGTTCACTGTACTAAGAAGTATAGGTAGACCACCTCATATCCAGCAATCAGTAAGCCGGTTCCACCGCTGGTTCGGACATAAATTGGCCACCTGAATTTTAAATTTCGCGCTGGTCTCCTCACCAACCCGCCGCTACTGTTTTGGTGGCGCCACTAGCAGACTCGGCTGTTGGCACGGTGCTTGAGGAGCGGCAAGTTATTCTTCATTGAATGAAGGAAGTGCTTCTCGTGGTGTAAAGCACAAACACCATACGTCGTCTATACAAGATAAGGTTGAACTTCTCAAAAAACTCGACAGTGGTGTGTCTGTTCGCAGCATATGCGACTTGTATAACATTGGCGCTTCCACAGTGTATGACATAAAAAAACAGAAAGGAGGCTGCTCCAGTTCTTTGTTGATAGTGAATCAAAGAAACAGATGTCCATAAGGAAAACATTGAAAGATGGAAGATGTTCACAGCTAGATAAAGTGGCTTAAACTTAGCGTCAGTGAAGGTGTGGAACTGTCTGGGGAGATGGTGAGGGAGCAAGCAAAATTATTTCATGCAGAATTAGGAATAGATTATGCATGTGATTATACTGAAGGGTGGCTTCAACGGTTCAAGCAGCGACATGGGATAAAGCTTCGTGCAGTGTGTGGTGAAAAGAGGTCGGCGGACAAGGAAGCAGCTGCTGCGTTTGTGGATGAGTTCGCTAAGTAAGTTTCGGATGAAAATTTAAGTCCCGAACAGGTCTACAATGCAGACGAAACCGCCTTATATTGGCGTTGTACTCCCAGGCGAACACTGACTACTGAGGATGCAGAATCACCAACAGGTTATAAAGCATCGAAAGATCGTGTCACTGTGTTGGGCTGCTCTAATGCTGCAGGAACCCACAGGTGTAAGTTGTTAGTTATTGGCAAAAGTTTACACCCCAGAGCCTTCAAAGGTATGAAACAGTTTCCAGTTATTTACCGTGCTAACAAAAGGGGATGGATAACAACTGACATTACATTGGATTGATTTGAACATTACTTTGTTCCAGCAGCGAGAGCTCATTGTGACTGTTGGTTTGAACAAAAACTTTAAGATAATGCTGATTTTAGATAAGTGCTCTGCGCATCCAAAAGCAGAACTCTTGTGAAGAATAATGTTTACGGTATATACCTGCCACCTAACTGTACGTAATTAATTCAACCCCTGGACAATGGCATATTACGGTCTTTGAAGTCTAAATATCGCTCCAAGTTTATGAAGCGGCTACTGAATGCAGTTAACTCTGGTAAACCAGTAAAGGAATTTATGAAAGAATTTAATATGAGAGATGTGATTTATGGAGTTGCTAATGCTTGGCAGTCAGTAGAATCAACATTGAAAAATGGATGGCATAATTTGTGGCCAGCTTTAATGTTCAGTTCTGCACCTGGTGAGGAAATTGGAAATTAATTTACAGGATTTAGGGTTTCAAATCAAAATCAGATTGTACGTGAACTGCTTTCTTATGCTCAAGATCTCAGTAATCCTACTGCGAAGGAAGTAGCATCGAGGCTGAATGCAGATAACATTAACTAGTGGATGGGTGTTGATGATAATGAATCAACTGTTCACCATTATACTGATGTTGAAATTGTTCAGATGGTTGTAAATCCAGAGACAAACAACAGTGGGGGAGAAAGTAATGATGAAAACGAGGAAGAGGTAGCTCAAAAGAATGTCCATTGATAAGTTAGTTGAGCTGACAGGTGAATTGATAAAAGGTCTCGAGCAAAGCAGTTTTATTACTGAACAGGAAATAATGAATGTTTATATGTTGCAAAAAAAACTAATCAAAGAAAGACCAAAATACATGAAACAGGTTAGCTTGCAGGATATGTTCAGAAAAATAGCAGAGAAATCTGCAAGACAGTAGTCAACACTCTTTAGATGAAACACAAGTGTCTTGATGACCCCCCACTTTCAGACGTGTAACTCTGCTTAGTTGTACAATCCAACTCTTTACATTGGAAGTGGCAATAACCAACCTTCTGATGTAAGTAAATACAGATAACTTGTAAGGTATTTTGCCTATACGTACAGTTGAGTCTGGATTTACACGGTTTTGGTTTAAGCCTTGCCAGAATTGAAATGCTTGATTTACGTGGCAAATTTGGTCATTTACGCGGGAAGCGGCGCGGGCAGGGTGCGCACAAGGTCGGCCAGTCATCAAAACATTACCGAGTTCTTCACCCGCCACGCACCACAGCCGGCCCAAGTCAGTGATAGTGATAGTGAGGATATGGACTTATATGGACTTTGAGAGGTTTGACAAAGAGGCCCAGCGCAAGCCTCTGTGGTGAATAGTGATACAATTGATACAAGTGATACAGGTGAGGGCCAATAATCTGCCCTCTGCCTCGGAACCAACCCCCCTATCCCCGTCTGCCCAGCCATCTTTTCTACTAATGTACGTGTTAAAAAACCTAATATGATTGATATTTCTCTTAATTATTAATTGTGTGTGCATACCATCATAAAATTAAGATGTTATTTTGACCACAGGGTACGTATTGTGTCGGAAAAAGTGGAGTTTGGGGGTCGTCCCAGTCTCTACTTCAATTAATCCCATATGTTCTGTTATTTCATTTGTTGTTTCTTTACTTTTTAATATCCAACTTGTACTATTTACAGAGTATTTTAAAAGTAGGGTGAGGTGGTTATGAAGTGGGTTAGAGGTGTTTATTTATTTAATCCTAACCTAACCATCTGTGGTTCGGCAAAATCACTAATCCGGCACTGCTCAGGTCCCAATCAATCCGGATTTGAGATGGTCAACCTGTATTTTCAGAACATAATTACAGAACCTATTTACCTGTGAAGTGTCCATTCTCTTCTGTATGAGGCCAATAAAGTTCACTTTCTCCTTAATTTCTGCAACATCAACATGAAATAATTCTGCAAATGATTTATTCCCAGGTATCGTTCTTTCTTCTTGTAATCTTGTAGAATGTATCTTAGGGTTCCCACAATACTGTACCAGGTCCTCTCGATACATTTCAATGAACTTCAGTATATCATCATATGTCCACTTCATTATGCATGCACCTGGAGCATAAACGAACAACAAATCAGCATTCAGACATTCTGTGCACAAACACGTTACCCTCTAATGAACCAACAACCACTTGAACATGATTCATATGTGCTTGCTCACATTCGAACATGCTTAAGCCTCCAACCACATCTAGCACCGAACATTCACTTTTTTGCTAGGTCTAGACGCACCTTAATACCCACGCACTTATATGCCTGTTGTTTTTTCAGGTATTCTCAACAGTCACTGGTAACACTACAGACTGTCTTATAGATATCTTCACACCACACTTGCTGAACATCCTAATTTAAGGTGGATATAATGAGGCAACTTTGCATGGTGTTTGTAAATGCTGAGAAACAGTATGTTAAGACAAACAGGAAATAAGTGCATAAAATTTATTTCACAATTAAAATACTTCTTCCCATACTGAGAATTCTTTGTTCAAGATGAGAAGTAGCAAACACATCCTTTACATTCATAATTAATACTCTTGTATTTAATTCTATTCATTACAGTGGTAACAAAAACAGTACCTAGTATAAATTCAAACTAGGAAAATGGCACAAACAAACTGTACATCTATCTATTTTAATTGAACAGATTTTTAAGAACATATTTATTCCTTTACAACTCATGTATAAAATACTGTACAAGATAATTAAGTATTATGACCATTGTTTTATCTCCATTACCTGAGCTGGTATTCTTGATATTCCCAGCAAAATGAAAAAAAAGATGCTTCTATAACCCTTTATTGTAATACACAACCTCTGGTGCATCAGGCAGCTGCCGGATCTTGTCCTGGAAATTAAAATAACGATAAATATTGTGAAGGAGAAAAAAAAGAGAGGGACGAGGAACGAAGAATGGAAAGATGGAGACGAGAGGGAAAGAAGTAGGAAGGTAGGAAAGGAGAGAGGAAGGAGGAAGAGAAATAAAAGAAAGAATGGACGAGTTGACAGTTCTGAGTGATACGGTATATATAATTTGTAATAAAAGTTTAAAGTCCTGCCATAATAGTCGAAATAAGTTTATTTCTCTTGAAACAGGGCCGCCATTTGCAATGACTTCACCACCTACCCTGCAGACAACGCACGGATGGAGATACGAGTCAATTTAGAAGTAATGACATTGTCTGGACTTTGTTTTGATAATGCCTGATGCTAGGTAAACATGACAACATAAGGCTGTTATTGTTTTGATAATTCACCAATGAACCACTGGGATATATCATCATTTATATTAATTGATGGATAAAATTTTACTTTAACTACCACAAGTATTTGGATGCTTAGATAGGCTATATTGGGAAAATTTTAAGTTTTGGTCATCCCTGTACATGTAGACTATGTTTTTTCCTGATGGTTTGCGATGTGTTATGAATGATTTAGACCTTGATTTCTCTTGGAAATCACTAGCTTTGAGTTACTAAACCCTTACCTATGTATGTTAAGCTAACCTTATAACTCATCATACCCTAACCTAGCCTAACATATGACCTGTATTTTCTTATACGATCGAAAAATGTTTTGCGACAGAAATCTCGGAGAGATAAATTGTCTCATTGTTTAAAGTATTTAATCCCATAGTAAGAATCTTAAGGTTGTCCAGATGACCAAAATCCAAATACACTAATACCAATGTTGTTTGGAATGTTTATACAGTACTTTGAAATTTGTAGTAGGGCAAGTAATATCCAGTAAAGCACAATTAATTATCTAATAATATTTATTTACAGAGCTGATCAGCCGAGAAGGTTGACAACTACTTCCAGGGTTTATCAAGCCAGATGAAAGAAATTTACCAAAAGCAGATGTCATTATGATAGTAGAGCATTACGAAGAACTCTGCCACCCAGCAATGAAGCACGTTAAATTACATCTGTCATCTGATCATCTCAAGCCCATTCCCTGGCCGTCCCTAGTCCTTCCACAACATTAAATATAGACATTAGTGACGAAAACTTACATTTTCCAGACATGAAATAGAGAAGTGATGAAAACTTCCATGTTGGAGTTATAGGTCTTTTGCACCATCTTGACACCCAGTAAGTAAATACACACCAAGATTCTTGAGCAGTAATTTATTTTAACCTAAAAATAAGGTAGGCCTGTACAGTATATATCAACATTGTATATGGCCACAAGTCCTGTATTTCTGCTGGTAACAACTCACACACCACAGCTGGCTGCCTCGAGGCTCCCGCTTTGTGGCTCGCACTAGTCAGTGACGTTGCAAACAGAGCTTTTTGCTGTCACGTGACTTTTTAGCAACTTTAACCCTTATTTTTGACACATTTTGGCCTAATTTATTAAAAAAATATCATTACTATAGCGAATTAAAGTGTTTTCTTTACCCATCTTCCGAAAAAATTACGACCGTCAACTCGTCCATTGGGAGGCAGAAGAGTGTTTAGAAGCGGCACCAAAGATACTGAATGAATGGGCCTTCAATACGAAGGAATATGGAAAGAGACAGAAGTAATGAGAAAAAAGATAGGAGGCTAAAAAGAGAAATGGGGATAGAAGAGAAAGAGAGATAAGTATAGTAGAAAGAGGGAAGGAAGAAATAGGGGTAGGCAGAGATGTAGGTGGAAAGAAATGGAGAAAGTAGAGAAAAGTCAGAGAAAGAAATGAAAGTGTAAAAGGAAGAATATAGAGCAAGGCTAAAGGAGAGGGAAAATGGGAGAAGACAAAAGGGAGGAGGCTATGAGAAGAAAATAATGATACAGAAAGGTGAGAGAACTGGAAAGGAGAGACATAAAAGAGGAAGGTGTTAGAGAAGGAAGTAATAAAATGGGAGAAATGTAGATATAGAGAAAAGGAGGCAAAGAGGGGGGGGGGGGTAATAAAGGAAGGATGAGAACAGAGAAAGAAAATCGGATAGGATAATGTGTGAGTGTAAAATGAAAGTCAGATCATTGGGTATGACTTTGCTTGGGAGATTGGTATCCCCGCATCCCCTGAGCAACGCTCTTGTGCATTATGCAGAAGACCCGACAGCAGCACCCTTATCCACTACCTCCTAAGATGTCCCCACACACAACGCTTCCGTGACGCCTGCTGGACCACCACTCCACGACCCCCTGACGGAGACACAATGATCCTCCCCATACTGGCCAGATATTTTGTAAATAATATTGAATATGTGTTAAAGGAATATCCTTCCTTCCTTAGGCTTTAGTAAGCCCCTTTATAATATTTATACTGTATATACTTGTCACACTTGCCAGATGCTTCTGGTGTCATTGTACAGGGGTACCTAGTGACAGCACTAGGATCCCGCTTCCTCTATCAAGGAATAAACAATTGAAATTGAAAATTGAATTGAGAATGGAAAAAAAAAATGATGATGGATAAGGAGTCTTCTCTCTTTGCCCTTCATTTTCTATTCTTATTTTTTTCACAGTCACACGAAAAATAAAAATAAAGTGGACAAGTAAGGTGGTGGAATAAGGAGAACAACTTACTCATGTTTCACCATATTTTTTTTTTCTCTCTCTCTCTCTCTCTCTCTCTCTCTCTTCCCTCTATCCTTGAACTTACTGTAGGAAAAATACTGGAAAAAGTAGATAGATTGGAAATGGCAGTGAAAGGCAGAGAGAGCTGGAAGATGCATTTCCCTGATCAGGCTATTCCTACTATACTATCTTTACCCCTTCCTAAAAAGATAAGGGGGCAGGAGGGGTGAGGGGCAATGGTCAAGGAATAAGATAATATTGTACAAAACCTCTCACTGCATTCTTCACACTTCTTCCAAGAAATTTGACATATGACGAGCAAGAAAGGAGAAAGTTAAATATAGAAAGAGAGGGGATACAAAATGGAAGAACAAAATATACTGGAGATATGATTCCAAGCAAACATGATGCGGAAGCCAACTAAGGATTTAACTTCAAAACTCTCTAAAGGTTTCAGCTTCGAAGTCATGGGCCTGGTTTTGGATTTTCTTTACATGGACACACGACCATATTGTGACATCACAGTTGAGCTAATCCCAAATGTTTCTGTTCACACAATGACCTGACCTGTTAGGAAAGCCCAGGTGCATGCTACAGCCTCAGTGACATAACAGCTGAGCCCTTCTATTTCTATTGGTCTAGTCTCACAATGACCTGACCTGAACCTTGAACAAGTACTACCTCAGCCCCAGGTATAGGTCGTTCTCGACATGCTGAATCAGTATCTGAGATCGAAATAATTGTCCCTGGGGTAAGAAATGTTTATAATTTATTGTGCAAATTACTTGGACGACACTTCATTATCAGAATTCCACCTTTCTGGCCATGGATCCTCAATCTGCGCGTCAAGGACTACCTCTACGTACTAATTTTTTAAGCAAAACTTTGACACAGAAAATGCTAAAATTAACAAGGGAAATTAATTATAAAAATTACAAACTCCAGTAACTTTTAGATGAATTAATTATCAGAATTTCAACTGGTTGATGACAGATCCATAAACTACACATGAAGGAATACCTATAGGTCATCCTTGACATGCTGAATCTTGATCTGTGGTTGAAATATTGAAATTTTGATAATTAATTGTGTTAATTTAAATCTTAGGATGATTCGCTGCAATTATTCTCTGTGACTGTTGTCTGTCAATTATTATGTTTATATGATATCATGTATATCTCGTAGATTTTTCGCATTACTGATTCGTTATGAGTAATGAATAAAATAAATGAATGAAAAAATAGATTTATAAAATGAATGATGATGACTAATAAATAGATAAATTAAATTAATAAAATCAATGATGATGAATAATTAATTCATGAATAAACAAAAACAATGAATAATATAACATTTATAAATATACTGTATACTGTTAATATAAGCAACTTTATCAGCCTACAGAAAGAGTCAAAATAGGTACTGAACAAAACCCCAGTAAAAGTGCAAATTAGGACAAAAGTCAATCATATTCAGTATTAATGCTTCTAAAGATCATTAGACTCATAGACTACCCTAAATGGTGACACTAAGTTTCAAAAACATCATTTAGGTCTCAGGTCATGTAAGGCAAGTTATATTTTAATAATTTTGGTTGTGATACTTCTTAAAGAGCTATGTACCATTTTTATGTGTATTACTTACTCGCACTTCTGGCTCTAAGGAAGATACTGCAATGGATGACTTTTGAGGGAAGAGTGCACAGCAAGCTGGAGTGGCAAATGTGAGGCACACACCGCACAGACCCACTTGCAATGGGGCAGATAGCCATGGTAATCGTCGTAATGTACCACGCTTTTCAAGTATATTCATGACGATAGGTGGGAGCACTGAAAATTAAAAAATTGTTATAGGGCTTTCATAAATTTTAATTATATTAAAGCTACCTGGTACATGGAATAATATTGCTTATAAGTGTAAAGTAGCACTAACCTTATGTAAAATTAATGAATAGTATCAAATTGAATGCTTGTAAAACCTAATATAAAATGATTCTTATATTAAAATAAAAACAAATTCTACATTCCACTGTCAGGAACAACTGTTAAGAGAATGCTACAGTAAGATAGCAGGGTTTCTCAGCTTTCAAGAGAAAACCAAGCTAATTCAAGAGAGAATCTAAACTGAAGTACTACTGTAAACTTAATATATTAACCTACTGCACTATATTTTTAATGATAAACAAAAAGATGATATAGTTTTCACTCAATCCCTGACAGACAACTGAGGCTGTATCCTGTAGCTCAGTTATGTCTGATTCAATTGGTTATACAGTACAGGTATACAATACTGTACTGTGGATACCGAACTAAGTTATGAGTGAAAAGGATAATTGGTTAAAATTATACCTGCAATCCAATATTATCTGCCACTCCCTATGAATGGTGAAATGAAAACTCCCTAACAAGGCCTTGATAAGGTGAAAAGCCAACTCAGTGCATACCACAAGAAAGAATGCTCTATCTTGAAATTGAACCTGCCTTTCTTGTGTTGTCTACGTGAGCATTACCAACTGTAGTATGGTGCCGAAGTGAAATACTATAAAGTTTTAGATGAAATTATTTAAAAATCAGCAAAATTTCTTGCAGTCATAAATAAGGACACACTAAACAAGACATGTGCTTTTTCATTTTGAGATAAATCAGTTACAGTTCTACTGACACTATCTGGAAACAAAGTCCCTTACAAATGCAAAATTAAGATCACAAGCAAGAACACAAACATGTAGCAATAGCATTTGTGTATCAAAATTTAAATAAATCAATAAAGGTGATGTCGAGAGGGCAGATAAGCAACTGGCTCCCTATACGGCCTCCTAAAAGGAACATCATCATCCCACACAATACAATACCATTTATGGATCTGAAAAAGGCATAAAACTGGGTAGATCAAAAGGAACTGTAGAAGTTGATCCAGTTTTATGGAGTAGGAGGAAAGCTGCCTGATGTAATAAAGGCATTATATAATAGTGTTAAAGCATGTGTGAAGGTAAACAGAGGGATAAGCGAGATCTTTGAAGTGAAGTAGGAGTTAGGAAGGAATGTGTGATGGCCCTATGGTTATTCAGGAAATTTATGGATGGAGTGATGAGGGAAATGAAGATAAGGGTAACTGGGGCAGGAGTTGTGGCCATAGGTAACATTACTCTACATGGATGATACACTACTTTTGTGGAGTGTCAACAGGAACTGCGCAAGATGGTGAATAACTTTGATGGGGTGTGAAATAGGAAGAAATTTTAGATAAATGCTAGGAAGGTAATGGATTGTGGGACAAATTATAAACAGAAAACTTCAGTAAATGGGTGAATTACACTGTAGAATTATGATTAAGATTGATATACAAAAGAATGTTAAAGATCTTCAAGTACAGTACCATATTTGGGATTGATAATAATGAAGTGATGGAGAGCATACCATAATTAGAATGCTCACTACATGGGAGATGGGTCATCTAACAGTTGGGTTGTACAGTACAGTATTACCTAGGGATAGAATGTTAGCTTGAGGTAAATAAGGAATTTTGAGATAATAAAATATTCATACTTCCTCCCCTAACTTAACCAGTTTTCAGAGATACAGTTATCCCTCGCTATACAAATGGGTTAGGTTCCTGAAAACCATGTGTTAAGTGAATTTTCGTATAGCAAATAAAAGAACATATGGGAAAAATAGGGTTCGGTTCCCCAATGACAAGAAAACCCCAATATCATACCCCAAAAAAACATGAAATAAGTTCCCAAACAACATAAAAATACCTAACTAATGATAAATACTGTAGTACACAACTACAGTACCGTTATTTACTACCTAACACATTGAAAATATTAATTAAATTCAATCTGCTGTAGTTGAAAATATCAGTTAAAACCATTAAGGAATAGCTAAATCAGTTTAACACAGTCGTCACTTGCAAAAACACTGGCTGTGTCAAAAGTGGCCGCCGTCAAGCCTTGCCACAACACCCAAGTCCAGATGGGGATGCTCCCCCTCTCGCTCTCACACCCAAAGAAATGTTTATTCCTTTTTATGTTTTTTACTTTATAATAGTTATTTCTTTTTCTTTTTTTGTACATTATGTATATAGAATTGTCTGTACATGCAACCGAGTAAAAAAAGTGAAGAAAATTAAGTTTATCTACCCAAAAATTACAAGTTGAAAAAAACAAACACAACATAACTCTCCCTCAGCCTGGTAGGGAGAGTGCCAGGGGGATGTGGCTGTCCCAACTGACTCCTGGGGGCAAGTGTTTAGAATTTTTGTCAAGACCCTAATTCACATAAACAAAGAAAGCAACTGTAACACAAAAAAGATGTGGCAATTTAGGAAATTTGTATTAGTGAATTTTCGTATAGAGAGGGATACCTGTAGTATAATATACTTCTTACTGTAACTTTTGGCAGCAAAATCCTCTATCTAAGCGCTACTTTTAGACTTGCTAAAATGTAAATGGTGAGAATTTGTTAATGTATGAGGAATGGGTGAAGAGAGGTTTGGTGAGATGGTATGAACAAGTGAGAAGGATGCAGAAGAGGATAGGAAAAGTGTAAAAGTGTCGGGTAGAGGGGGACTTTTCTCATCATAGGAGATAAAGTTGGAACAATACATTCCAAAGAGAACAGGGGAAGAATAAGAGATAGGAGGAGTTGTAAAGGAGGCTCTTCTGATGTAACCATTCCCGCAGAGGGAAGCTGCTTGAATGAGTGAGATAAAATCGCTACTAGGGAGCAACATTACCCCAACAAACATAATGCCAAGGTACTGTACTCTATGTACTTTGAATTTAAAGGAAATAATTTGAGCTATTAATAACATTGTCCACAAACAATGACTCCTTCAGAAAAACTGAAATGTCTTAGTTTCCAGGACAGAAGAGTCACCAAGGGAAACAACATCACAACAGTACAGTATACACCAAGATAAATAATGTGTTAGCACAAATATAAATAATACCATGTACAGTGACCCCTCGTTTAACAAACACCTCAGTTAACGTAATTTCGATTAACGAACTGCCTTCCATAAGGATCTTCAATTCGGTTAACGAAAAAAAATTCGGTTAACGAAGTTCTTACGAACCGACCTCAACATGTTTTCGCTTGCACTGACCGGGCAACCAGCTTTAGTATCAGTCCGCCAATACATTAATCGGTTCTAGGGCTTAAATTCCTCACTATTTTAGTAAATATCAAGAAGTTTATACTATTCAATAATTTTAAAAGTTTAATATTCAATTTTTAGTCATTTTAACAATTATTGAACATAATTGAAGGTAAAGTGACTAGTTTAATGCGCGGCATCCAGCCTCTTAACACAGCAAACAGGCGTTAGTCTCTCTCTGTTTTCACTGGAGGTAACATCTTGCTTGAGACTCTCTTCAACTAAACACTTTTTTTCTGTGTTTCCAAGCAAATTATTGGTCATTTTGAAATATATTTTACATATTGACAATATATAATGCAGTGCAGTGTTGATTTAAAGAAAATAATCTTGAATTACACCAGAGAGCTAAAATTTTATGGGTGAAATGGCGCCATGGGGTGACTTCTCTTCCACCCCAATGCCTTCTCTTCTTCCTTCTCCTCCACCCCCATTCTAAATCCCATCATCATCATCATCCAGGAGCCTTCTACATACACACCTCAAAGTAAGTGAACTTTTCTACCATTTTTCTTGAATTTAGGAAATTTTCGGTGAGCTGGAACCAATTACCCAAAAACCCATTGAAACAATGGTTTCGGTTAACGAACTTTTCGGTTAACGAACGACCTTCTGGAACGGATTGAGTTCGTTAACGGAGGGGTCACTGTAATGAATTAGGAGACACTGAAATATATAGTGCTATTCCTCTGAAATAAAATCAGAATCATAATAATTTGCATAGGCTGTATAAAATTAATTTTAGAAAATCTTTTGGGAATACAATTCTCTTAACCAATACTACACATCACCAATCAAGGTATGACCATGTCAAATTTGAAGAAATATGCTGAAGCATTATGGAAATGTCTGCAAATGAAGACCCCCCTATCTCTTAAAAAACAAAACAAAAAAAGTTCACTCAAAACAGACACAAGGGAGCAACATTATCCCAAAACAAGACAGGAAATTACATGATTTAAATAAAAACATACTAAATGTTTAAATAATCTACTGGGATATTCTTAACATACTGTCAGAAACAAAACAAAAAATAAAGAAACTTGTGTTGTATTAGTAAACATACACTGCAAAATCACTAAGGTATAATACAATTCACTACAATGTGTGTGTTCACTTGTAACATGATCATGGTGAGGAACCGATGCTTAGGGCAGGTTGTGGTTACTGTTCATTTTATAAATGTTTCCATATAAAAAGGGAGTGCATTATTGACCCCAAATGAAAGCCTGGGGGTCAACCTTTGCACAAGTTACCAAAAGTTACATGAAACTGCTGGACGGAGTTAAGATTAGGCATACATAATGCTAACTCTTTGGATTAAGTTAAAGCACCTAGGGACTGGAGATCAGACATCATCATCCCATCATACAAGAAGGGTATTTGTTATATACATTGGCTTAGTGTTTTATATACTGTTCACTTTGTTTCAACTCTCATTCAGTTTCTCATAAGTGCAGGTATAAATTATTACAGTACTGTACAGCGTGTATTTCACTTATGTTTATTATTGGCTTATAATTACACCAAAAATTTTTATTAAAAACATATTTTGTGGCATAATTAGATGTTTTGTTGAAGTATTTTTTGTAGGAATGTTTCTCAGCTTTTATTTGGAGTCTATGGAAAAAGATGATCTGATTTCCAAATATTTTTCAGGAACCTAACCCTTTTGTACATCAAGGAAAACCTATACTGTATTATGTTGAAATAAAGTGAGTTTTGAAGCTAACTATACTCTGAGTTTTGTATCATATAAGGCTAAACATCATTCAACAATATTGCCTAATGATTTATGTGATTTTGCCATATGTCATTTGTTCATAGTACTGCCAAGTTTTTCAAAGTTACTTCAATAAAATGTATTTCTCCAATTGATTTTACTTTCCATGATGCATATTGATTGACTTATTTCTAAATCCACATGCCAACCAAAATAAACAGTCCACCGGCTGCATTGCTGTCTTATAGAGGTAACTACTCGAACCCCACAATGAGTTATACTTGCGCTACATACTGGTGCTAAAATGGCCTAGTCCAAAACTAAAGAGAATATAAAACACTGAAAATCCATTCAAATCACATGGGGATACATATAATAAACCTATAAGCTTATAATTCTCCATGTTGGATACTTTTTGTGTAATCCTGTGACCAAACTTAGGTGGGATAGACATACAGATACTGTAGACAAAATTTCCAGGACACTTGGCAGCATCTGGCATGTAAGTACTTGAGGATCAGTAGGTGATGGGGATTGGTATTTTAGTGTATTTTCTCACATTTTCTTTGTATTAAGGAGTGGGTTTTTTTCGTTTTGTAGTTCCAATATACAGTAGTACATATATGATGAAAATTTGTGTTGCTGGATATAAACCAATCATGTATATAACCCAGATGTAGATGCCAGATATTACCAAATCTTCAGGGAACTTTGTCCACAACTTATGACAGAACAAAGGTGCAAAACAATTAGCCGCCTGAATACTCACTGAAAACATAAATAAAGCAAGCAGTGACACCATAACAATCCTCCTGACAGGGAAAACCTATTTGTATTCAATAAGAATAAATAACGGAATATGTAAGTGCTATAACAGCCAAAGCTTAATATTTGGTCTGTGTAACAGGAAACAAGATTTTTTTTTGGCCTCAATGACAAACACGCACACACTCTGATATAAAAATGCCATCTCTCTCACAATCATCAACTAATAAAAACAATCACTAAATATTTTGTATGAGAAATTCACTCTCCAAGTACATTTTTTAGATTTCAAATAAGTAATCTATAAAATTCTACTCCAGCAACTAAATAATACAAATAAAATAAAGTGGTCCCTCGATTAACGAACACAATTGGTTCCGCAGAGTCATTCGATAACCGAAAATTTCGTTAACTGAATCTATTATTTCAATGGGATATTGGGTAATTGGTTCCAACTCACAGAAAAAGTACATACAAAGTACTGCATACCAGTAACAGAAGTAACAAAACATTAAATATAAACTAAATACAGTACTGTACTGTACAGTATACTGTATAATAATAAAGTAAAAACAATAGAATACTATATTTTAACTTACTTTGAGATGTGTATGTCGTATTCCCGGCAGCTTTGTTTACATAACGAACAGCTGATTGCAGAGGCAGTCAATGATGACATGCCATATTCTTTACAGAGTGCATTGGTTCTAATGCTGTCTTCATGTTTAATAATAATTTCATGCTCTGTATATTATCAATATGTGAACTAAATTTCAGAATGACCAATAATTTTAATATAAAAATGCAAAAAATATTCAAGAGACCAACAAACTGGATGTTCACTCCACTATAAACAAAGTTAAACTGAGAAGCGTTGGTGGGTGATTCGATCAGCTGATTGGCACACAAAAACTTTTCCCTGTACTGTATATATTATCAATATGTTAACTAAATTAGAATGACCAATAATTTTAATACTGTATAAAAAATGAAGAAATATTCATGAGCACAACTTTCTTGATATTTACTCCACTGGAAACGAATGTAAACATAGAACCAATTACTGTATTGGCGGACTAGCCGATCAGCTGATGCGCACAACAAAGCGTGTTTCTCGTAAGGCTTTTGTTAATCAAAGTTTTGTTCGTTAATGGAATTGAAAATCCTTATGGGAGCTAATTCGTTAACCGAAATTTTGTTCATTGGACCATTCGTTAATCGAGGGACCACTGTACTGTACAGGGTACTATGTTATTCATGCTTAACATTATAAATTATTACAAATAAAAATCTAAAAAATCTTTACCACACAGCTTCTCAAACTAGATAATATACTGATACTTCACTCAATTTCTACCAAGTGATATGTCCATGCTATCAATGCAGCTTCAAGGTGGTCAACTTCACAGTATCATTAGTTATACTAAAGTACTGTACTGTCTTTTGAAGTTGGCACATGCTAATTAGCTATACTGTACTACAAAATAAACAGCATTCTGTACCCTATGGATTAGTGTTACTGTGACTTGCTCCTTTACATTATGTCTGTTCTACTAAATTTGAACACACCCTCAGGAGCACAACCATCTTACCACAGCTGGGGACGGCCATGAGGATCCGAGAGAGGGCAACCATGACCACCCCCTGTAGTGCTGCCTTCTTACTGTTCCCCACAGGGTTGTTATCCTGGTCCAGAAGTACCACACCCGTTTCACGCCATTCTCTACATCATACAAGGGATGGCATCTTATTCCACTCATCAGCATTATTATCCTCAAAGAGCATAACATCTCCTCTCACTACACTAAAATTATAAAGGTACTCACATTTCACTCCTCCACAGTATCATTAAAAGTTCCTTGATACAGTAATCCCTCCCTCACCAACCACGGGGTTACATTCTAGAATTCTCCTGCAGTTAGCAAAGCCATGATTGACAAGGGCTGGGTCTAATAGGAAATATGGGGATTGGGGAACTGACCCCTAAGAGACATACCTAAAGTCCTATACTGTAATGTGCAACTCAAGGTAAGAAAGAAATACAAGGAAGTACAGGGTGTACTGTAAATAGTTAGAAAAAAAAGAAAAAATGCATAGTACTGTATAAAAATACCCGTGCTATACAATAAACCGAGCTGGTAAAAAAAAAAGTGTACCCGGTAATGAAGACTTCCCAATGCCATGCATTTGACCACAATGCTCTCCCAAACTGTGGAAATATGCACCATAAGCTGAATGATAATACAAGCTAGCATTATTAATACTGTAGTGCAATAAAAATGCAGAAAGCTTGTATGTGATCTTAGCTGGTGTGGTGACAAAGTGAATAAACTAAAAGAACAGATTTGGTAATGGATATAACCAGAGCTGCTGCTGGACTGAGACTTCTATGCATCATAACCACCACCAGACTGAAAAGTCACATTGGAAAATAAAAGTACCTGTATTGACATCGATGCTTTCCTTGAAAACTGATAAAAGATAGGAAAATGGAACCATAGAGCTGGGTGAAGAAGTGTGTGGAGATGTCTCACCTAGAAGTACAGTACTGCAAGAAAAGGTCAACATCTACTTTATCTAGTAATTTGAGTAAAGTTCCCAAACAAGTATTGGTACAATGAACCAAACAATGTGGTGTGGCTAGTCTCAAGATGTGAATGCTTTGGTTAAATTAACAGTGGATTGTATAGAAAAGAATGGAGGTTGCACTTTATAACACTTGCAGTAATGTACAGATACTTAAAGGAAAACCACTATAGTGGGAAAAACTTACCATATATTTTTTTTGGGTGTGATTATGCAATGCTTCCGTGTACATCCCTGGTTACTCCTTAAACTAACAGGACACTAAATAAACGTACCTGATTTTGCTTTATAGTTTTCTATGGCAAATTAACTCCAAGGTATAATTACCAACCTCTACTTACCTTTAAATTAATTACCAAGCATAATTCATTCAGATCAGAGGTGAATCCATGCACAAGTTCTTTTTTGGTTTAACTTTTAAGTTTAATGTGTATAAATTCCTATATTCAGAATTTCCATACACCTGACTCTAATATCCTTTAACTGCTAATCTAATATACTATAGGAATAGCTGTCTGTCTGTGTGTCTGTTCTGGGCAGTCAAAACGGCACAATCGCTTTTCATCAAACTTGGTGGAAAATCGCAAAAAATTCGTTGAGTGGAACAAACCTGGTCAGTCTTTGTTTAGGTTGCGTGGGTGGAAGGTTTTTGTACCCATGTGAGCGCCAAAAGCCGTGATTTTACGCCTGAGTTACAGTGCTTTATCGTGTGATTTCTGGGTCTTTAAGATGTCCAGGAGAGTTACTAAGCGTGAGGATGTTGCACAGGCGATTGGTTTATACAAGACTAATCATAAAGTTACTGAAATAGTTGAATTAACCGGTGTGTGCCGGCGGTCAGTGTAAAAATTCATCTCGGAGTTTGAAGCAAACAGCCAGGAAGAGTTGCCTACCCCTAAACCCAGGTCTGGGCGACCACAGCTTAGGTCTCCTAGAACCAGGAAGGTGATTGCTAGGCAAGTTAATGCTAACCCCAAGCTCAAGGCCCGGGAATTAAAGCAAGCTAACCCAGGACTCCTTGGTAACGTCTCCTTAAGGTCGGTGCAGCAGCTTCTTCATGACCATCTCGGTTATCGTGCCTACCCGACCACGCCGTAAGCCTCTGCTGACTGCTGCCCAGAAGGAGAAGAGGATCACTTTTGCAAAGAGATACAGTGTCTGGTCCCTTCAGGAGTGGAGGAACGTCCTGTGGAGTGATGAAGCCACGTTTACAGTGAGTGGTTGTGGTCACGATAGGGTGTACTGCTGGCCAGACTCTGACCTGCTCGACCCCAGGTACACCGTCAAGACGGTCAAGCTTCCTGATTCAGTGATGGTATGGGGTTGTTTCACTTATTACGGTGTTGGTGAGTTGGTTGTGCTTGAAAAAAAAATTAAAGTTAACCAGGGTGTGTGCCTCGAGCTTCTCTGTGACGTTCTGCCTGACTCGTTTGAGAAAACACGCGCCGACGTGTTCATGCAGGACGGTGCTCCCTGCCACACAGCCAAGTTGGTTACTTAGTGGTTGGAGGATTGCCAGGTTTCATATTTTAAGGACTGGCCTGGCAAATCCCCCGACATCAACCCTATTGAGAACCTTTGGGGGCTCATGAAACGTCGCCTACGTGACCTCGACAGCTCGTCCGTCCCCAAGCTCACCACAGCAATTAAGCAACTGTGGGCCAATTTCACCCCACAGCACCTGCAAAAACCTTGCAGACAGTGTTCCACAACGACTGAAAGAGGTGCTGGGGAACACAACAAAATACTAAGAGGGGTGGCTGAGTGTTATTTTCATTTTTTTATTGCCTTACCTCGATTTTTTATTTTTTTTCCACGGTGTGCCTTAACTTTCCACGTAGACTGTATATCTTGATAAAATCACACGTCTTGAATAAAGACGAAATCTAAGGTGCTCCGTTGTTCCCCTTTTCCCGTGTGATTTTATCAAGATTTATCTTATCCACGTTTTCATTGTGGACCTACATGAAATATATATATATATATATATATATAAATAAATAAATAAATCTCGATCTTTCATCAATATGCAAATAAAAATTTGCACCAATGATGGCCAAATCTCTCTACATACCTCAGTAAAGTCAAAGGGCCATAATTATCAATAATACCAAATTAATCTTGAGATCCTTTGATATACAGTACTGTATCTATATAACAAGTTTAGTTCCATTCCATTGCCATTCCATTGTTAATTGTTAATCATATTTAAGTCCATGCATGTAAACACAGCACCTGTGCTGCATGGGACAAATATGAACTGATACACACACCTGGATGCCAGTTTATGCTATATCCTAATCTCCAAGAACTGTAGGGCAGAAATGAATAGGTACTGTACTGGGAGGTGTAAATACATACATACCTGAAATAACACATGCACAGAAACACCAATTGAGTTTCCTACATATTAATGACAACTTTGGATTTATTTGCTTAAAGGCATGACCCTGAAATGCATAAATCTTATAATTCTCTTAAGTTATTATTTGTTTCCCTTAAAACAACCAGTTTGTAGATTGGATAGGATACAAACCCATGCCAGGTGCAGACATCAAGATTCGAGAAACACACACAGCTCCGATTCCCCATTTGGCTGCCTTCTTGCTCTGCCCCACTTTGTTGCCATTCTGGTCATGGAGTGCCACCCCATCCTGAAGCTCCCTATATGGTGATGCACACATTGATGGGACACATAAACATCAAATGTAATCACAGCTCTTGACAATAGTTCTAAATCAAGTTTGTAAGACGAGACACAAAATCAAGTGTTAGCACCTATTCTGATTGAGGTCAATTAGTCTTTCAGGCCCAACAATTAGCTATTATGACACTAAGGGGATATTAATCTCATTAAAAAAAAGATACTAAGATTTAGAAAAAAAATATAATCTTCAAAAGTCAATCATCTTTATGAGAGTAACTAAAACCTCCAGTAAAGCGAATTAAAGACATTTAGCTTACAATTATAATAAATACCCAGCCTACCAGACTGGTATACTGCATTTATAGTGGTTCTGTTTACCATGTACTGTATTTATTTACTAGTTACACTTACCAGTTACAATGTACAGCTTCTTTGTGTACTAGCATCTGTGCTTACAAAACATGCTTTACTGTTAGCATTCCTTTCAAGCAAAAATATAATTCATGCCACATTTCCTATTCACTACAGTAAGACTTCACTTACCTGACAAATCTGGGACAAAGATTGTTATTTGCTGAAATAAACATGCATGCCGCCAAGTGGCCACCCGGTGCACTAAGGTATCAAACTTTGTTCCATGGTGATCGCACATAGCCACGATCGTGTAACTCAACAATTATCGGTCAGTATCAGTGTTGTTACTTATCATCGGTGTTTTTTTTTACAGTAAGAGGATATCATGAATACCCACATCGTACTGTACTCTATTTGGTGACTGTGAAGTGATTCTCACTGTTTTTTGTGACTGTAAAGTGCTTTGGCTGGATGATGACTATCATTTATATGGATCTGACACATCATAAATGGGGGGGGGTTTAATACATCACCAGTATTAAAGCGGATTATCTTAAATTGGGGAATACCTGTATATGTTGTTTAAAGTTGCTATATATCTATCTAAATTCACAATTGTTTCTTTCAATGTTTCAGGCCCCTTCTTGTTATATTCCAAGGTGGGTAGACTCAAGAGTATATAAAGACTTTATTTGATGTAATCACTTTGCTCTTACTGCTGTAACAAATTCATATACCACTCAATGACATGTGCACCTAACATTCACATAGTATATTTGAATGCTTCTTGAGAGTCCATCCCTCTTGCTTACAAATCCTTCATTCCATTCTTCCCTCTCTCCATTCTACTATCCAACCTGAATTATACAAGTACACTCTTTCTACCAACCTCTCAACAACCCCATATCACCCTAGTAAACCCTGATCAGCTCTCAGTCAGACACCCTTTTCATTTGTATATCATATTTCTGTACGTATCTTCCATTTTCTTCATTGTATCACCCCACGTAATGCTCTCGCACATTATTTATATGGAACCTAATTATTTTTTTCCTCTAGTACAGGCATGGGCAACCCGCGGCCCGGACCATGTGTTTATGCGGCCTGTGGAGTGACCGAGAAATTCTATCTAATGTGGCCCACAGTTCATGTAGATCCAGCCAGTTTATGGTGAGTAAAGCAATATTTATTTAAAGAATAATCTTCACACACAATTCGTTACTGTTTCATCACCTAAAGGTATGTAACTACGAAAATTTAACAGTGAAATAAGTATATACAGTATGGTCAACAATATAAAAATTTTAACTTGTGTGAGTTTACGAACAAAGTTCGGCGCAGTCTGTTTGATGGATTTGATGCTATATGGCAGTGGGTCACTTGGGAATAAACAAAGGTTGGGTAAGTCCAAGTGGGGTTCCAGGCAGCGGTCACACAGGGTTTAACTAATTAAGTACTTCCAGAATAACGCCAAAAATCTAAATCAACCCTCAGAAACCCATAGTTGGCAAGTAATTAGGATTGAAAAAATGTACAGGGTAATTAAAATATTCCAAGCATCGTTACGACCACTAATTACCCCGCAATCAAATCGTGGACCATACATTCGGAATCAGCATGCTCTGGAGTACCTATGCTGATATTTTCAACGAAATCTAATTTTTGGCCGAAACTGCCAAAATATTAAGCGATATGACTTAGTAATTTTTCGAACAAAATATAATTTTCTCTTGGAATTGGAATTTAAAGAGCTACTTCCAGAATAACATAAAAACGCCAAAATTGCACCTAGGGAACCCACAGTTGGCGAGTAATTAGCATTGAAATAATGTAATTAATATTTGCAAGTGTCAATACGACCACTAATTATCCCGCAATTGAATCGTAGACCATAGATCGGAATCGGCATGCTCAGGAGTACCTATACTGCGATTTTAAATGAAACCTAATTTTGGGTTGAATTGCAGGTTTGCGATTCGAGATTTCAACGATTCGTGGTAAGCAGATGGTGGCTAGCTTACAAGCTTTTTCCCGCAACACAACTAGTTACCCCACGCAGCGTCTCGTGTTGTACTCTAAAACTTTTGTGTTTGTGTGAAATGGCCCCTAAAAGATTGCCTAGTGTCAGTGCTAGTGATGCTAGTTTGAGTGAAATGTAAAAGGCAGAAGTCAGTGATGACCCTAACAAAGAAAGTTGAATTGTTAGATAAATTAAACAAGGGGATGAGTGGTGCCGTAGCTGGTCAGTTGTTTGATATAGGTATACAGTAGTGAACTAAGGTTGTATAAGTTGCTATTCGCGGTTTTGCCTATTCGAGCCATTCCTTGGGACCTATCCCTTGTAAATAACAAGGGTTTACTTTAGTCCCAATGTTAATCTTGGCATATGAGGAGCTACAATGAAACAACCTATAGGCTCATTTTCTCTCTCTTTATGTGTGTGTCTCATAAGTAAGAAAAATGATGTAATTGATGGAAAAATAATCAACATATTCACAGACTGTTTCGCCCATCTTCTGTTAAATGCCAAGAAAACTTTAACATACTAATTAAAAATTATTATAATGGATTTATTTCATAAATGAGAAAAAGACTGTGATTGTGAACTAAAAATATCGTTAGGTGGACCGGACGATAAACTGTTTTACTGTCCATGCTACTTTTGGGTTTAGTAGGATATAAATTTTGGTGGACTGGCCCGCAGAAAAATACCTAAATCGTAATGTGGCCCATGACTGAGGAAAGGTTGTCCATTCCTGCTCTAGTATTCTATGCGTCCATGGTTCACACCCCTATAATGAAGTCAACTAAATTCCTCTACTGCATGTATCCCCATCTTTTACTCTATTAACAGTTTTCTCCCAACATTTCTCAAGACACCTATTACTCACTTCCTCCCCCCCCCCACCCCCACACACACACATATACAATTTAATGATTCAATGTTCCACTCACTGACACATCCATTGCATTATATCTCCATATGAACAAATATTTATTTCTACATGCCTACCATCTTCACTTGTTCTTAATATTAAATGCAAATATTAAAAAAATAAAACCAATTAATTTGCCTACAATAAGCTTCTTTATATCATCTAGTCAAAATATTGGTTATTCTAATGCTTAAAAAAAAATAACAACTTGCACCTGCTAGTAGATAAAAAAAAATGACTACTAGCCAAGAGCTAAACAAACCTTTGCTTCCAGAGGACCTTCAATATTAAAAGTGAGTCCCATAGACCTGAGAACCCATTTGGGATAGTATGGATATAGCACACAGACCAAGCCATTTTCAGCAAACAAGGAGGCAGCATGGATGGCAATACACTTAACTACCTTCAGTTTCTCCAACAGTTAAATTAGGTACTCATTCATAGCTGGGTGAGCTGGGAATCTTGTAAGCCTGATGGATCATAAGGGGAAGTGAACTGTTAACTTGGCCCTTTTTTGAGGGGGGTAAACAAGGTGGCAGTCTAGCTTGCACTGCACTTAACTGCTTTCACTTCCCCAACAATGAAGTTTGGTTCCAATTCACAGTGGACAAACTGGGAGTCTCACAGTAACAAACTAGCAGCAACCCTTAAGACAGAGGTGTGTGTTGTATCTGTTCAGCAAACTATTAGTGAATGCCCGTGTCAAAAAATAACTCGTCTCTTTGTAAAAGGTTGTACGGTATATAAAGCCAAGGTTTATGAAATACCTATTCTATAATCAATATCCTATATATTTGTTTTACTTTTGGGTAACCTCCATTTCTAAACAGTTGAACAGGGGTCCTCGTTATTTGTATATTAGCTATATGTAAACTCAGTTATATGTATACAGTAGCAGTTTTTACCACCAAAATTTTGTTATTCGTATACCATACAAATACTGTACTGTACATCAAAACCTCAATTTAATTGATTAATACAAACGACCAGAGAGGAACAGAATAAAGTAAATATGTGGCTCATGATGTGCTGTGCCTGGTGGCCTCTACTGACAGACAACATGCCCCACTCATGCTGCCATCTACTGAGGGCGGAGGAAACTATATTTTCATCAGTTGCTACACTCTTTGTTTGATATTTATTTAGTAAACCTTTAAAAACCTATTTAATGAACATACAGTATAAAAAATACTGTACCATATAGCGGAGGGGTAACTTTTATTATTACTGTACAGTATACAGTACATATTTATATACTGGTATGGGTAATGTCTATTCATTATTGTACAGTACATTACTGTATTTATTATGATTAGAATGCATTTTATTTATTTGTGTACAGTATTTATATGATTTTTACATGTTTCTGAGCTTTTTTTACATCTTAACCAACACATATAATTTAACATGTCTGGCTAGGTACCAAAACCCCACTTATTACATTGATTCATATGGGAAAATCACTTCATTATTTGTATAATTGTTATACATATGATCTTTTAGGAAAGAACCCATACAAATAAAGAGGATCCACTGTAATTAGTGATACAACTGTCTGGGAAGAGAACAATATAAATCAACCAAAAGATTAGCTATAATGCCACAAAAAGCTTTAGCTATTGACACTTAGGATTGGCAAACTTTGGGTTAATACTGCGGTGCAAAAGTCTGCAGATACACTTAAGAGATAGATAGGAATAAAAATTAATTCTGGCCACTAAGAAAATATACTGTATCAGGGGTAGTAATGACCTAAGCATAAAGCTGATCACTTCTTCAACTTTAAAGCAACTCCATTTTGTCAACATAACTTTAAAAATAAATCACTCACCAGTAGACATGTCAGTTTACTATCAGTATTACTTTCAAATTGAGTTTATGATTTGGAGACTAAACTTTAATTGATTAAATAAAGGCTATGATGTGTGACAAAAATATCACAGTTGCAGTCTTCCATCAACAAAATCAAAGAGTACACTTCAACCTTAACTAAGTTTGGTAATTCATGGAAAAAGTTTACAATTGTATCTTCAGAGTTCTCTGAATTGCTCTTCTATATTGAGAGAGAATTTAAAAAAAAATAAAGAAAATTACTTAAATACATGCAATGACAAACTTTCACGACTAATAAAAAAATATAGGACATGATAAGATGACTTACTTCATTCTCATCATGGGAATGTTAACGCAGTTGGCTGATGCAACAGCTGCAAAGGGCACTAATCGTCCAATAAGAGAAGGCAATGACTGTAAAATACAAAATCAGACATAAGCGCATAAAATATTCCAACAAAAATACGTTACCAAGCAAAGTATTTCAAATAAATAATGAATTTGTAAGAATAGTTACTTGGGTAGTTTTTTGTATCCATGGTACACAAGACAAACCTATCTTGGATAAGGTCACTGTAAGTTACAATGCACAGGGTGTTCATAAAGTCCTGTTCTGGGTTTAAAATTTAATTACAACAAAACCATAAATGATATTAGTATGCTCAACTAATTAAAAAATTTCTTGATTTACAGCTGGTAATCTGAGTGCCCATTTCTTAATGACAGAGGCTTGAAAGGGGATGACACCTAAACAGGAGAGAGCTCAATGTGTCGATTAGTTTCCAGTTGCAACCATTCATTATTTTTCAATACTGGAGTTTGATTGTGCTTAACTTGCCTTGACAAGAATGTCCCTTGCAGATGGATTGAATGTGATGGGCCAGTCTCCTGGCCCCCACGGTCTCCTGATATTACGCCCTTAGACACTGAGACACTTCATACAAGAACAACCGATGGCATCAGAGGATGAAGGATATGATGGCCATCCCATGGACTGAGGTGGAGTGTCAGTTGGTGCACAGAACATATAAAATTCAATTTGTTAAGCAACAAAATGTATTAGTACTCTATCTCTTGGTTTTATTGTGATAAAATTTTCAAACCGGAGCAGAACTTTACGGACACCCTAAGTTCATCACAAACCCCCACCGTTACAAAACAGGATATATGCACATTAAACATTGGAGTATACTGTAGTTACAAAAACATAATCAATTAATCAATGATGATAATTATTTTCACACATAGATGGACAGCTAACACTAATCAACAGTATTAGTAACATCAAAGAACAATTATATAGAAAGAATAGTACAGTATATCACTCCATTCATTCACATTAACATTTGGATTAATACAATGAAATGTGTTGTTATACCTTGACTAAACTGTTAAGACCCAGAGCAGTGACCAGAGCTCCACTAGTTGCCATTACATAAGATGTACCAAGCTGCCTGGAAAATAAAATCTTCAATAACAATACTGTAGCAAGTGTTAGTCTAATTCACACACATAGAATATTAATTTTAACATACAAATAAAAATGTACAATCAATGGTAAATCTTCATTATAAAAGTCCTCACAATAATTGTATGTACTGCACTAACATTATACAACTCTTTCATTGCACTATTCTCCATCACACCTTCTGACACCTCAATACAAAAATCTATTTTGTGAAATATTAATACCTGTACAAGCAACTTTAACATTTCAACATTATCATCAAACTATGCACTGTACTTACTGTACTTCAAAAACTGTACAAATAAATGCATATGTATTCTTAGGTAATCTCTGACCATACATCTTAAATAACTAGGCATTTAAAGCACATTTTTCAACTCTTCCCCATACAGTGTTACCAAATCACCTGCCTCAAATCATACAGGTTGGCTCGCGATGAACTTCTGCTGTTGACTGTAAATAGCATTTAAAAAAGGAAAGGGTCACTGGCCACTTACACATGTCTTTTTATATGCACTCATGAGTACTGTACTACATACAGTATTGAACTGACCATCATACTACAGAAGCAAAGGAAATGGAAGAATAATACAGTACCCTGTAATACCATCCACTTACTGAACGCTTATGGGTGAGTCTCCAGAGCGGTTTGTGTAGTTAACAACGGCATTGAATGACTGATTGATCCACTGCCAGAACACAACTGCTGGAGTTGTCCTGTAATTATACAAGTTTCTTACTAACATCATATAACATTACAGGTGGCAGTTGCATCTTATATAAAATACAAATGGAACCTCATTATATATTACCTTAAAGTTAATCCCTTTGTAAGTGAATAAAAACAATACTGTGCTGTAAAAAATTAAAAGGAACATGTTATTTCCAGCTTTAGAAGTGTAACTCAAGAGAAAGAGCAAATGACTAGATGAAATACTAATTAGCACTGATAGTTGATATACTGTACTATATAGAAAACTTTGATTAACCGCCCACATATGGGGGGAAGGGGCCGATGGATATTCCAAAAGGTTGGTTAATAGTAAATAAAGTCTACGGAAATAAAACAAACCTTTTTAAAGTACCTATCCCTAACCTACCTCATTTAAGTCCCTCTATTCAGTTTTGTTCATTTGCCATTCATATTTCAATAGCATTTGCTTTAAAACATTAACCACTTTATTAAATAAATATGAACCAGCACAGAAACAATGAATAAAAAATGGAAAAGTCAAAGAACATATGGCATCACAAAAATTGTGACCAAGCCCTGATCTGACTTCTGCCTCATTTACACACAATTGCAGGGTCTCAATTGTTTCTCTTACTATTGACAACACAACATACATATATTGTTTCTCACTTTAGATTTTTTTTTGCATTTCTTTATGGTTCTTTATTATTATTATTATTATTATTATAATTATTATTATTATTACATTTTCGCCCCCCCCCAGGCCCCAATGTGGGTTAGTGATCTGTGCCCAGGTGGGCTAATCCCCGTAGAAAAAAAATAAATAAAAATATTTTAGGTGTCAGGGATCGGCGGTTAATCCGAAAGTCGGTTAATCAAGGTTTTACTGTACAGTGAAATCCCAGTTAGCAAGAAGACAGTAATTGGAGCAGAACTGTTCCTGGATTCAGAGAATTCTGGGTAAGTAGATAAATTTTCTCATCCCCAGTAGGCTGCTGCTTGGAATGGTTAAACAAAGTTCATTTAGGAATAACAATTATTTCCTTGGACATGTAAAAAAAAAAAAAAAACACTAGACGTTAATTGTCTCACTTGTAGAAAGTCAACATGCAGCCAGTGATGGTCATGTTCATAGGCACTTGTGCAGACATGCGTCCAATCAGCATCATCTTCTCCCCAGTGTCCGGGTGAAAAGCAGAATCATAAATGCTTTTTGCTTTCCAAATTTCATCTTCTGATAAACCCAGTTCTTCACCTTTCCTGAAAAAAGAAATTTTATTTATTAATTATACATTTCAGTATACAGTACTTACTGTAATAGATGAAGTCTTTACAATCAATGAGAAAAGAACAATGAAAATGCACATGGTATTTAACTGAAGGGCAAAGGCAGTACAGTACTGTATACTGTATATGTAAGATTGAGACGAGTCCGTACTAATCACTAAATGGAAATGATTTGGAATATGACCTACACCTCAATGAAGCTTTACCCATAATTCCATCCACTATCTCTTAAAGTGAAGATTTTAATGCAGTAATTTCATGTGTATCCAAAGTCTCCCTCTTTCTTCCACTCTTAATACACTTTAAATCTGATCCATAATATTCTGGGACTAACCCCCTAATGAACTCCACATTCCATTTTTCATCAGTATTGCCACACACTGTAAATACGACTGGCATTAATTTTTGAAATGTAAAGATGTAAAGGGTGAGCAATATGCAGGCATGTAAGTATGTTCAGGATTATACCACAATATCGCTTTAACAGGGAAAAGAGGCTGGAGGCTTGTTTATTCCCCACTTTGTACCTGACGAGTTTATCCTTCATTGCATAGTGTTGATATGAGAGGAAACCTGTCATGTTTGGTAGGGTCACACATAATACCCTTTTTACATCCAACCTGGGAACTAAACCCATGACACGATGATGAGAGGCAATTAATTCAACTACAGCTGTGCCACCAGCACCCCAAAATACTTATGATTTTGAGTGTCAATTTTTATTGCTATAACAGTGAAAAACTAAAAACAGCCACTATTGTTACATTAAACCCAAGTTCAAATAACATATTTACAGTACAGTATTATAAAAAGGTATTCTTCTAGCTCTCAGTGTAGAAGTGATCAACCAATTAGCAGATATCTTAAAGGTACATGTCTACTGATCAGGTGCACAGAACAGAGACTTGATACACAATGAAATGCTTCAACACGCCACATATTCACCTGTATCGACTCACAACATCTTTGGCATTTTCTAGCTGACCTGAAGTACACAACAGGTTAAGAGGATTGGTAATGGTTAAGAAGTGTTTGGCACGACCCTCATAGGTGCTCTGGTCCCACCGAGGCTCATCAATGTTAATGTGGCTCATCTTCTCTCTGAAATTATATAACAATGAAGAATGACAATAAAATTTTAAAATGCACAGTGAATTAATAAAATCATCATATTGAATTTCAATGAACCAATACATAATATTCATTGCATTTTTTTATATACCAGTACAGTATCTATATCAGCAAACTGAATTCAGTTGACTATCAAACTTTTGACAATCAGCAAATGGTTACACTTTGAGAATGCATCACCACAGGTAATTTGAAGAAATAACAATATAGTACTGTACAGTACATTGTTATTACAGTTATGGATAAATGTGGATAACTACAGTACAGTAGCTACATGAAAACTACAAAATGCACAAACAATTTTCCTTAAATAAAGTACGTACTATACTAAAATTATAAAATGTTTATTTGTTCAGCCTTATTTTTTACTAAATGGTAGAGGTAATTCTGAAAAAATAAGTGTCCTTAAAATTTGGACGAGGGTGTCATGTGTGTCACTTCAGCTATTGATAAATGCTTCTTAGTGACCATACGCTTCCCAGCAGCCTATCCATGCTTGCTTAAAACAGCACTGTACCATTAGAAGATGACTGAACACTTGAATTAGCAACTTGGCAACATTTCTCTATAGAAGTTGAAAGGTTTCTCACCACATAAGAGGGCCATACAGCTGAACAGGATTGTTTTTGTAATACTTTATAATTTTTTTACTTTTTTGGTCCTGAGCACTAATCTATGGCTGTGAGATCTAAGCTCTAACACAATGCTCCTTTGTTTAAATCCGATATGTTAAATTGGTTCCTTTCATAGGAATTTTCGGTACAGTATTACTAGATGAGAGTGGTCCAGCCTTAGACTGACTTGACAAAATTTCTCCACAGAAGAAAAATTGACAAAAAATCAGAAAAGAAACTGCTGCATTGACATCCCAACCTAAAATAATTGTTATTATTTTCTATAAACAAATCCTATTTATAAAAGAAACCAATGAAAAAGAAATAAAGGAACAATGTCATCAGCTCTCACAGCCATAGACTGTCTTCAGGATGGAAGAAATTAAATATGCCTCCCACCCCAAAAAAGAAAAGAAAAAAAATAATCATAAAAACAGAAAAAAGAAAAATCATCAACTTTCTGGTCTTCTCAAGAAGTAGAAAATCATTTGTCTTCCGAAGACAAATGTTCTCTTGTTGCTGGTTCAGGTGCCCAACCGTCCGCCAGTGTTAACCTAAATCAGTTTTGAAGTTTATTTTGATATTGTGGAAAGTGGGGGTATAAGACAATAACATTAATAATAATATATATCCAGTAAAACCATCATACACATTTACAAATAGTTTGGTGTATAGATGATGGAGGTATACAGTTCAGTATGTATAAAGATAAAGCAAGTAACATTACTGTATGTGATGTACATAGGATGGTACTAGAGCGTGTGGTCTACAAGATGGTAAAGTAAGGTTAGACTAAATATATATTGAAGACCAAACGCTATAGTAGCACCGTACATAAACCATGAAAGTACGTACAGTAACATCTCCCTTAGCCAGAATCCCTCAATCTGGAACTGTCCGATAGCCGGAATTGAAATTTTCTCGGAAAATCGTTCCCAAAGCCGTAATTTTCCGGAAAATTCCGGCTTTGGGAACAAGTTTCTGAGTGGCACATTTTCCGGAAAATTCAGAAAAAATTTCCCGATGCCCGGAAAATTCCAGGGATGAGGGATATATTTCCGGGTTCGAGAGATGATGTACTGTACTGGGCAATTTCTGGAACTTCCGAGAACATTTTTCCGTTACCCGGAAAATTCCGGGATGAGAGATTTTTCTTGCTTTGAGTCGTCTCATTACCCGGAAATCTCTCATCCCTGGAAGTGCTCTGCACCAATTGTTCTGGCTAATGGGGATATCACTGTACTTTATACAGTTTCCAATGTAAGTAGACAATGCAGGATAAAATAAAAGTAATAAATAGTAAGGTAATTCCACCGAATATAGTCGACAAAGGTACCGTACTTTAGAAGTAAGCAAAATTCTAAAGTACGTAATTAAGAAATTTTTGGGTTAATATTCCATAAAAATTGACAAACGAGCCTAAATCATATGTCGATGTCGGGTTACAAACCTAAATCATATGCCAGCGATAAGAAAATAATTATCTAACAGGTGAGTATGGTACAATGACAAGATTAGGTTAGGTTTGGTTCTTTTAGTTATGTTTTACTGGTGGGGTCAAGATTGACATAATAGTAATGGTCATAAATCAATACTTATGCATTTCCCCAAACTTTCATTATCACCGCTGTATTCAGTGTTTGTGGAATAACTATTTTTTTTCTTAACTTTTTTGTTAACCTGCACAACCATTCCCAGGTAAAAGTATTATGCCCAAATAAAGACAATCCTCAATGGCAGTTCATCAACCAGAATTAAAAATCAACGTACAGTAATGTTCAATATTTATTTTAAATTTTCTGAAGCGTGATTTTTGATAAGGCAGTGGATATTTTCCCGTGACCGGCTAAGTTCCTACTAACACTATTTTATCGTGAGTGCGCTCTGATTGGCTAATCAAATCAAAACAACAATGCACAAAACCTATTAGAATATTACCTCACCTACCTACCTCACCTAACTTCAGAACCTGTGCATCGTCTTATTCTATTTTCCTATAATCACCCAAACATCTCAAGAAAAAATGAACAGCGGATATTTTGCCATTTTGTTCACTCATGGTAAAATAGCGTCAGTAAGAACTTAGCCAGTCACGGCAAAATATTCACTGCTTAAAGAGAAAGAAACAAACAACTTCCCCTCTGAAGTAAAAATTCAGTTAAAATTATTGTTGCGGTCCTTCATCTATTTGGAAGTTGAAATAATCCATCGAATAAACATAATTTTAACCTAACCTAACCTCAAATTCACAGGATGACAAACGAAATGGTCTAATTTTAGTTTCGGTAAACCCCTTTATTTGATATCCAAACTAAGCTAACATAACCTAATGTAACCTAACCAATTCCCTGGATGACCAAAACTAAAATATTATCAAGAAAACTATACTATAATGTATTTCAAGCAGAACAATGAAGAGGATAAAAGGTCACAACCAAAATGTCAATGATAAAGAAGTGAAGTAAGTTTGAGCACCACCACACACCCTAGCCTGGATGTACTGCTAGCCAACACCTCACTTCAGGCCTGCTGATTGCTAGACATGAGCCATTTGACATGACATTAACTTTAGCTATCACCAACACTGTAGTTCGATATAACACACATGTTCCGGATACTGTACCTGTCAACAAAAATACCTCTACTTCTACAAGCTATATTATCAGACCTGTCAACTACCATGCAGTCATACACGTATATAGGCTCTCCTCCAGTGACACCAGTTGTCAGGGAATGGAGAATGACGCGAAGAATTACGTAATAACAGGTGATGAGTGATGGCAGGTGAAGGTGCTAGGGGCCGCGTGTGTCGTCTGCTGCACCACACTAACTGGTCTCATCCAGATACCCTTCTTCTGCTTCACCCCATTTTTACTGTTATTCTCTTCACCACTGACCGGCTCCTGTATTATATATATAAATGTGTGTGCTTCTACTAGTATACTCACTTATTATGATTAGCGTCGTACCTTCTAAGTACGTCTGAGCCTAAAATATTTAAAAGGACAGAACCAAAGGAAATACAAGACTAGAATATAAGCTAATTTCAGCTATCTATTGTCTGGTGTCCAGCCATCTATTGGCAATATAAACTACTGTACTAAAGTGAGTTGTAGAAAACGAATGATTGTGAGGTAAGACGCTTATTTTATTAATTATTTACTTTTTTCTTTTATCTTCTTCACCACTGATCGGCTCGTTAGCCGCTTGGGCGATCGGTCACGTCCCTGTTACGCACTGTTGGCAAGTACTGGGGATGCACCGGCTCCTGAATGTACCTGAACCTGCTCCAGTGTTGGTCAAGTCTGGTCTTGAAAGAGCTCACACTCGGCGCTGTCACAACGCTCTCTGACATATACATATAATAAACATACAAATACTGTACACATTATATTTTATAATTTCCACCATTTATCACCTTACTAGCCGTTCGGGAGTTGGTTTATCCAGTGTTAATAAAGAAGAAAATCGGAGACCGGGAAACCTGTGATGTTTGGTAGTGAGGGTCACACTGGAAAACACCCTTCTCACGTGAGTCCAGGCATTCCAGGCTTGAACTCTTAACATATTGGTGAGAGATACACACACATTACCGCTGTACCACTATCATATTTGATTAAGTTTTTGTTATATCATTTCACAACATGTCATCTCACTAGCCATTAGGGGGATCTACCTGTTCCTTATGACCAGCAATGTCCTAGTGTTAGTACAGTATATATGATACACATCTACCATTCTCATTTCAGCTCGCTGAAGTCTACTTATGTCATCCTAGTTTACTGCCCGTTTCAATGTTATATAACATCACACTTCTAACACTGTACTACGTGATTGTACTGATCAGCTACCATCACATTACAGCTGCATTCCAAGGAAGCCCGAACTTAGGTTAGTGTTGCACTGTAATGTGTTAGTCTCCCATTACATTGTTAAACTTCGTCACAGAAAACGTAACTGATGGAGGGACTCTTGTAGCATGAAATTACAAGTTTTCACTATCCCCAGTATTTGCAACCTTATGTTGAGAAGGCACACTTTTACCCGAGCGTGGAAGTATTGTAAATAATATAATCGTGTCTGAGAGTAGTTATAGGTACGTTTATAATGAGATTAATTACCATCGCTATCTAAACTGAGGGGTTCTCGAGTAAAAACATTGAAATCTAACCAATATAATGGGTATTTTGAGGTAAATAGTTAAGGCCGAAATAGCCGAAAGGCGAAGTGGCCAGAAATATCCAAACAAGCAAATCAATAGTAATTAATTGTTACTACACAAAAACGCCTGAGTACAATGCTGCATTAAGAAAAAGTATTGGATTTTTTCTGATACAAGGGGGGTCCGCACCCCCAGGACCCATCCTGGTTCAGCCCCTGGTTTGCCATTGTTGTTTACTTGCACTGTCTCGGTTCACAGGAAACTGTATACCCCACAAAGGTCAGCCCACATGCACCGTATACCTCCAATGTTTATATTCATGATGAACTTTCACTTACTTTTACTTTTATCCTCTTCGCCACTAATCGGCTCGTTAGCCGCTTGGGCACTCGGTCACGTCTCTGTTACTCACTGTTGGGAAATACCGTACTGGGCAAGTACTGGCTCCAAAATGCATCTGTATCTGCGCCAGTTTTGGTCAAGTCTGGTCTTGAATGAGCTCACACTCGGTGCCGTCACAACACTCTCTGACAGATTGTTCCAAGAGTTTAAAATTCTCACTCCCAAAAAGTTTACCCTCACAATTTTCTGGACTTGTGGTTTCATCAAACCTTGAACTATGACAGCTAGTGGTTATTGTTGTGATGGTTGTAATGATAGTTGTTGTAGTGATGGTTATAGTGATGATAGTTGTGGTGATGATGGTTGTTGGTGATGACTATAACGATGCTAGTTGTTGTGATAATGGTTATAGTGATGGTAATTGTGTTGATGATGGTCGTTGATGCGGTGATGGTTATTGTAATAATGATGGTTATTGTTGTGATGGTATACCACTCTCCTCATGTCGTACGTGTAGCAAATGTCTATCCTGCTAAATGTCTTTTTTCCCGTCACAATATTTGGCACCTATCTTGTATTTCATGTACACAACACTTACCTTGATCGCATTCCTCACAATCTTCCCGTGTTTACCTAAAATGGTCCCCTTCCCGGAGTGTCCTTTCTCGCGCCTCCGAGATTGTTCCATTCCTGACTTGATGCCCGTAAGAACAAAATTTAGTATGTTTAAGTAAAAGTGCATTTACCTCGTCTCTGTAAGGGATTACTTGATATCAGCCGTCGCTCTTCCGTATTGACTCAAGATTTTCAGACCTTTCTTATCAACACCTTTTTCTTAAGATCTATCACCACACATTCTTCCTATAACTACTGTAATAGCTTCTAAACTTCCATTCTCGAGGGTGTCAGAGCAACTTCTTCTGAAAACTATTTCAAGTTGATCAGTTTATGTTAGGAATAATAGTAAAACTTTAATGTTATGTGTGATATGTTTTAAAAATTAGCGACTTGTCAACATTAGATATATCCCATCTTACTGTAGAATAAATATGATACTGTTGATGCCTCGTATAATCATGAGATACACGGACATAATCCACAATAATTATACTGTATTATAATTAGGTGCAGGGCCGGATTTACCTACTTGTGGGCCCCAGGCCAAACTCATCAGTGGGCCACCAAATTTATAGAAATGTTTGCATGTTTCAATAATCAATATATATATATATATATATATATATATATATATATATATATATATATATATATATATATATATATATATATATATATATATATATATATATATATATATATATATATATATATATATATATATTTTTTTTTTACTGTAATTATTTTGCAATGGCCAAATGTCATCAAATATTACATAATATCATAATATTATAATGTAAGAAATAAGAATTTCAACACAATGTGACACATCATTACTTTTAATCAAATTAGTTCTATATCATGTACGTCTTATATATGGGAATAATGAAAGAAATACAATTAACTTAAAGCATAATCAATTTTGCAAGCACATGAAGTACAGCAAACTGTGTGAATTTCAAAATAAATTCTTCCTACTTTTTTCATGGAAAATTTGTCAATGATACTGTTTGTGTCAAGGGATTGTAGGAGGCCAGATTTAATGCATAATAATGAAAGTGAGTTTAATCTGGTTTGTCCCCTGGTAGACCTCAGGTGATTTTTCATCCTAGATAGAGTAGAGAAAGACGCCTCTCCTTCAGAATTTCTAATGGGGATGGTAAGGAAAATTCTTACCAAGATACTAATGTTTGGAAAGGCAGTTGTCAAAATACCATCTTTGGACCTCAGCAAAGAGGAGATGTTTGTCACTGACCTGTCAGATTCAGAAGACAAAAGTCTTTAAATTGCAAAAACTCATCTAGAACAGATGCTTCCAGGTCACTGCAATAGGTACTGACAACGAATTCCAGTTGGGCTTTGAGATCATCATATTTCATACTGTCATACTCCGAAAATGACAAAAATTGTAAGTCATTTGAATAAGTAATAATGCAGATAACAAATTTTGGTTAACAGATCCTTAATCAGCATGTTCAGGAGTACCTATACTGAGATTTTGAACAAAGTCGATGCTATTACTGTTAAACTATTGTACAGTAGTATACTTGAGAGACAAGGCTGAGAAACTGCAAATGTTGTTAATGATTCACTGTGAAACTTTGTTTGCATTTTCCCAGGATAATCTATTCACCCCGTTAGTTGTTTGAATATGTTATCAGCAACACACACTACTGGCATTTGTCAGAATTCACAAAGTCGTGTAGGAAGTGAAGCTAAAAAGATATATCGGATTGATCGATTTAAGTTAAACACAAAATTACCAGTACAGTATACACTTTACATCCAAATACTGTATAGTACTGTAACATGATAATGTACTGAGAAGTTTAGGTGAAAGGTTAGTGAACAACTCGCCCAAATATCTTTCTTGCCTGAGCTTTAAACATCAACTGTAGTTTTTGCATAACTTTTTGTATTGCTACAACATAATGCACAGTGTATTAATTTGTATACGGTAAAATTTGCTGTCTAATTTAAGGCATCGTTTACCATCATAAGATAGCCAAATTATACTTAAATTTGGTTAGGTTAAGGTTAGGTTAGCTTAGATTAAGTTAAGCATGAACCTATTCATTTATATGTATTATGATCATTTACAAGTGCTTGTACACCTAGCTGTGAATGAGTACAGTTTGTAATTTTACATACGGGGTAGGATGACGATCAATTGCCGTGTCGACCATACCACCTTGAAAACTGTCGGCTTAGAATACAGTTTCCTGTATCCACACTGCCCCTAATGGACCCCCAGGCCTACAATTATGGAGCCCATTTTATACATGTGTGTATGTGTGTGTGTGTGTGTGTGTGTGTGTGTAAGAATTAAATTTTTTTGTTGGTACGTTCGTTGTGCGTGTGTATGTGGCTATTATATACTTCTTTTAACGTGTACGTACTTATTTCATCTGTATATAAGTAAAGGAATTTGTTTCCATCATATTGTGTTTATTTTGAGACGGGCCATCGGGTGAAGTATCTGGGCTATGAATGTAAAGCAGCAGCAGCCTATTCTGTACCACCGAGAAAACTCCAAGACTCCTTCCTGCTTTCCTTCCATTTTCACCGCCCCTTTGAAGGTTAGCGTGCGTGGACGGTCTGAACGGCTCCAACGAGGAAGGCGCTTCTGCAATTTCCAATATCCCAGCGCCCTTTGGAACCTGATATGTTTGTATGAGTTGATTCAAGAAGGAGAAGTATTTTCGAGTATTCGTGATTTGATATAAAGTTTTTATTTAACCTAAATTATTTTGTCTGAATATC